GGGGGAAAGTTTGCCAGGAAGCGTGATCTTTAAAAGTTACCTCTGTTGTGCTGTAATTAGATGGTGAATTATAGTAGTTACAAAGTATAGAGCATGACATTTCTGGTGGAGTTAGAAAGAGACTTCTTCCCTCTTCCCATCAACAAGGTTATTAAGAAATTGACCTTTAACATGTGCTGTGCAGAAGGATCATGATCTGCACCTAAAACATGTCCTTAATCATTGTCAGTCAGAGGAAAGAAACTGCACTTAGTATATTTGCTTGTTTTGAACTGATGGTGCGTCTTCCAGTTACTGTAACAGTGGATTTGTCGGAGAAGGTAGCCAAAAGGGATGGTGATCTTATTAAAGACTCATTTATTGACTTCCACTTTACAACAGCTGAACACCATGAAGTGTTTTAAGATGTGGTACTATGTCCAGAATCCAGGCCTTGATCCCAGAAAAACTCTTACTTTTAGTGTAAGATAATTCCTAAGTAATTTAGTGGCATTTTGTTGTGGTCATTTTGTCAGTCTTATCCTTTTTACCTTAGGATGGAATGACCATAGCTGTTTCAGTGTGAGAAATCACTATTTTCTAACACCTTTTTCAGAAAGCTTGTAGAGCACACAACTTTATGGTCTCACAGTTGCTCTGAGTGAAGAATTGTAATACTATTAGTATTACAGCCATTAGTATTGTAGCCATCTTATATATATAATATAGTGTTAGTATTATAGCCGTCTTATGGCCTGTATAGTGTAACCTTTTCTGCATCAGTTAACATCAAATTGTTACTTCTGGCTTTTCAGCTTTGCACCATTGCACTGTTTGTTCCAAACTACGATGTCGTAGCATGCATGAATAGAGGAAAGTGAGGCATGACAGCAAATAGCAGTGTAGCATTTACTAGTGTGGAGAGCCAGTTGCACATACAGCATATCCATTAGGTTGTAAATAACCTAAACTTCCTGGCAGAGTAAGTCAGATGCAAGTTTTATAAGAATTGTACAGCAGAAAGGTTTTATTTTTTCAGGGTAGCACATAGATAATGATCCAAGTGTTTTTAATGTTGAACAGAGCTGGAGCTGGGTTTAACTTTGTGTACCAGATTGCTTAGAACCAGAAATCTTTTCATTATTCAGAACTGTGTAAGTAACAGACAAAAACTTTGAAATAAATCAGTTTTAACAGCTTTTGTGCTTTGGATGGTGCTAGCCTTAGCTTTAGTATAGGCAAGTTTAATACTGAAATATGATGTATTCACACTTTCTTTGTTACAAGGGAATGAAAAAAGTCCAATATAAACATTTGTATCCTGAAAACAGTGAAGTTGGTGAAAGTTTTATGAAATTATTGTCTCTTGACCTTTATTAACTTTTTTAATAAAGGGATACTGTACTTTGAAATACTTAGACAACTGTTTGAATTAGTCATTTTCATGAAAAGACAGAATTTTCAGATAGGTATTTTAGGAATTTGTATTTCAAATGTATAGATAGACCCAAAAGGTGAAATTTAGCCATACTGCCTTCTTGAGCGAAAGTGTGAGCTTTGAATCTGATTAAGTTAGGAATTCTTGAAAATTACATATTAGGTTTACTCTGTGACTGTACTGGTTTTGAGTGGGATAGAGTTAAATTTCTTCATATGGTTGTATGAGGCTATGTTTTGGATTTGTGCTGAAAACGGTGTTGATAGTGCACAGATATTTTACATACTGCTGTGCAGTGCTTGCGTCAAGGCCTTTTCTGTTCCTTGTACTACCTCGCCAGCGAGTAGGCTGGGGGTACACAAGAAGCTGGGAGGGGACAGAGCTGTGAGAGCTGACCCCAACTGATGAAAGGGATATTTCATACCATATGTGGTTGTCATTCTCAGCAATAAAACTGGGGGCAAGGTTTGCCAGGGCCTGCTGCTCAGGAACTGGAGGAGCATTGGTTGGCCAGTGGTGAGCAGTTGTTTTCATTTGCTTCATTCATCTTTCTTGGGTTTTATTTTCCTCTCTCCTTGTCTTTTTATTTTTTTTCTCTCTTTATATCTTTTAAAGATATTATTTCTTTTTAATTATTAAACTGTTTTGCTTTCAACCCACAAGTTTATTTCTCACTTTTACCCATCTGCTTCTCCCCCCATCCCACCAAGGGGGGTGGGGAGTGAGTGTGGTGCTTAGCTGCTGGCTGGGTCTAAACAATGGCAGTGACCTTGAACATGGTGTTTCTGGACTAAAGATGCAAAGTGTGCTGCTGGGGACAGTGCTAATTCATGAGCTACATGATAAAAAGTTAGTTGCTGAGGTTCGGCCATTTCTCTTGTTGTATACTCACATCTCAAGTGTGTAAGGGCAGACTTTTGTGGGAGAATAGATGCTGCTGCATATGCATTTCCATTTCTTAATAGATTATGTATGTGATTTATATGTTAGAGCATGTCCTACACACAGAATAATATTGTAAACATGAAATACTCTGGTTGTTGTTATTACAAAGTTGTATCTAATTTTTTTTTTCAGTGATAGCAATCCTTTGTTTCTTTCCTTGTTTCTAGGAGGTTACACACTTTGTTTCATCAAACAGTTCATCAAATATGTCCTTAGAACTACTGTATAATGTTCCTATTCATTAGCTATGTGTTAAAAGTACAGATGGAGAAGCAGTGATGCACTTACTAACATATTGCAGGATCAAGCAAGCTTTGAATGTCATGAAATATCAGCAAAGTGCTTTTTCTCCCTGAAAAGCCTTGATCTGATTATAAAGAAGACTCCAGTGTACATTAACAAAGAGAAAATGGAGAGTTAATATTGTTGTCAAATTCGCATGTTTATGCTGAGAAGCTATTTGCAGCATATGTTGATTTGAGATTACATGATAGTTGTTGTTAAACTCTGTATGACTGAAGGTGGATAAAAAGGAATTTAGAAACTTAAAATTCTTATCTGTGTTAGAAGTTTAAATTACTCATATGTGGAGAGCTGTTAAACTTGTTATGTTCCTTGAAATCTGGCCAGAATAAAAAAATCATACTATGCTTTTACAAAACTATCCTTAACACTTTCTTCAAAAGAAAGTGCTGCTTTTTAATCTCAGAGATTTGATCTCTTAAGTGTAATAATGTTTGTAACTTAAAGTTATTCTACTATGTGGAAAGGCTTTTTTCCACCTTCTCATTGTTAATTAAAAATACAAAACCACACTTGCTAGTGTCCTGTGGATTGTCCATGGTTTCTCTTTGTTACCTGCAAAGTCTCTTCTTCTGTATCTTAGTGGTTTATTGCATGACATCCGTTCCAGACAGGTTTGAATGTGCAAGGTTAACCTCTGCTGTTGACCACAATTAGTGAGGAAGAGGTATGCATCGCTTACTTTGCAGAGATCTCTGTGCAGGTGCACTAGCTGCTTTCTGCATGGATGAAGATAAATTGCTGAACTGCGAGGATTAGTTAAATATATCCTTTAAACATCATATCCTTCAAGTGCTTGTAAAAAGCATCTAGGAAACCTTTTTGTTTCGATTTTGGTTACCTAATAGGTATTTGTGTTTTTCCGTGAAGACAGGAGTAGTCCAACAAACTGCAGTCATTCTCTTTAAAGACTAGAAGGTGGCTTCGGTGAGAAACACCTCAAGTAGTTGTTACATTCACTTGAGTTGGGATGTCTGTCATTAAATTGTTTTAAAAATCCTACTGACTACTTGAGAAAATACTATTACTGTTACTGTTAGTACCCTAGACAGTACAATTATTACTTCTAGGAAAGTCTGAAATAAAACTTCAAAATACGTTCTTTTTTTGTGTTTTATATGTAACCCATCTGACTGTCAATTTTCATTCTTCCATTTGTGTGCTCTAGATTTTTATTAGTACTTAAAATTTTGTGACCAGGACTTTATTTTAGTAGAGAATGGACTTGAGTGTCAATGAGAGTTTTGTGAGATAGTATCTTTACTGAGTTAGCCATACTGTTTTTTTTCCCTATTCTTTCCCTCTGAATTATAAAAGGAGGCTAATCACCTGCGGAAGTGTAGACGTGTCATTGTAGCTCAGTGCAGACCTCTATTCTTGCAGTAATTTCAACATATGGAGGAAAAAAAATCGAGGAAAAGTTACCCTGGAAATACTAATCTGCCTTAGAATTTAATGATAAAATTTGATGTGCATTTATTTCTGGTCAGCCTTTTATGAACCCAAGTTGAGAAAAACAAAGAAAATGATTAACAGTGTGAAGAGTCTTTTATATGGGAGTGGACTGTTTAGTGTGATGATGGGACATACTAAGGACATTCTATAAGCTTGCATTATGTTTAGTCATATCTCAAGAGAGTGGTATATTTGGATTTTTATTAATAATTCAAAAGACAGAAATATAAACCCCAGCTCAACTTTAGTTGTCATTTGAATTTCTACTGTGTAAATTTTTATGTCAGCAGGCACTTTCACCTATGTTGTACTTGGAGATAAAGTAACAAGCCAATTCTGGCACAACTAATGACTGAACATTTCACTTCAAGTTTGTGAAATGGCTCATCCATTTAGTTACCTAAAATGATAAGGTATTTTAGAAGAACCTAGATTAACTTTTTGTACTCATCCTCTTGTGTAGTAAGAGAAGGAACTCTCAATGCTAACAAAAAGAAAAAAATTACTGAAAATATGTTCAGTGTTCAGCTGCCTTACTAAGTTCACAGCTCAAAAGAGAAGTTTGGAAAGGTTATGACCGCTCCCTTGAAGTTTCATTAAAGTCAATGAAATGAGGACTTGGCTATAACTGTTCTGTAGATGATGCTTTCAGAAGCAATGCAGCTATTTGAGGAGTGAAATAGAATAATAAACTGTAGTTGCAATGTATGTTTATGTCCATGTGTGAATAAGGAACAGGCACAGCACCCATTTAGTGATTTAAAACAAAAGATTAAGTTAGTCTTCTGCAATAATGAAACATTACCTCATCTTTGTTGTTTCACGAAATTCAAAAATCTTTTGGTAATAAAAAAATGCATATTTTTAGGAAGTTTAGAAGTTTTATGAAGGAGTACTATTATGTAATATATACTATCTGCAATTGTACAAGTGTTTCTAGTTACTTTTCAGTTTATACATAAGTCATAATGCATGCAGTTGCTGTGAGATGCTAGCATTTTGATTTGTTCTGATGCCATATGTCAGGTGCAGCTGTTTTGCCTGATATGTGATGTGCTTTCCAGCTGTGAGGCTGACATTCGGATGTATGAGGGTTTATGTCACTGTGCTAATTCTGCAGTGTGATGAAGGACAGGGAAAGGATGATCATGATAAAGGAGCCCTATAGAAAGTGTTTTCTTTTGCCCTTCACAGGAGTTCCTAAGTCCTCATTGCAGGAAAAAAGCAGCACACACCTTTTCCTATTGTGTTCTGATGTTCTGTGCTTTGTAAATGTTAATTAAAGAAAGGAAAATTTTGGGATTCCTGTGCAGGATCTAGAGATGAGATACCTTCCTTGATACCAGGCCTTTAGGTTTTTTGTTTTAGGACGGAGAGTACACTCTGGTTATGGGGTGTGTGTGTGTGTGTTTGGTTTTGGTTGGGTTTGTTTGGGGGTTTTTGTTTATTTGTTTGTTTGTTTTGGATTTTCTTGTTGAGGTTTTTTTTTTCCCTAAAGCTTATGGGAAGTGAGAAGTACTGATTCAGTTGAACTTAGATGCAACTTTTGGACAACATAAAATTTTGGAGTCTGTTATTTTAGTGCCTTGGCAAAATTTGCAGTTCACAGAAGTACTTACTTGTAAATAAAGCCACAAAAGCTATGTATCGGTTAGCTCTGTGATCGTGGTTTTCAGTGTAAAAAAATTGGAAAATAAAGTTCTGTCTGGCTTGCCTATGACTTCCTCATTCTCTCTTGAATTTGCAAATGAATTCAAAAGGAGCTGTAAAGGAAGAGTGAAATAGAATCTGATTTACAGGGTAACAGCTATTAAGTGCGAATACTCTACTAATGAACTTCCACTTGTCAATAAAATAAGCAAGTAGAATTCCAGATATTAAGGAAAGTTCTGTCTATGTCATCATTGACTACACTGTGCATAAAACAGTACCTGTCAAAGAAGCTTGAAAACAGAATCCTGTATGGTGTGAGTAAAATAAAACCCTGAAGTTTCTTTTAACACATATACTTTTTGTCAAAATTGAAAAAAGGGCAAAGGGTTATTTTCATTATTTGATAATTTATTTTCAAAGTGAAAAATAGTGTCATATCTTCAAAAGCTTGTTCAAAAAGCAATTAGTAAAAGCCAAATAAATGCCTTAGATAAATGACCTATTTTTACTGTATAATTTTGATAACCACTTGCAGATTTCTTCTGGTGTCTTATCCCATTTTCTGTTTACATAGGCTTCAGGCTCGAATTGCTCACAGGATCCAGGAACTGGAGAACTTGCCTGGTTCTCTGCCCCCTGATCTGCGAACCAAGGCTACGGTGGAGTTGAAGGCACTTAGGTTACTGAATTTCCAGCGCCAGGTAATGCCTTTTGCTTCAGGAAAATTCTTGTAGAGGTCACAGCCAAATGTGTTCATGTAGCAAAGAGTAAACTGGCAAGGGATTTTGTAGCAGCACTTTGCCTAAGCAAGAGATTTTGCGTAAGAGCGCAGTCGACCAATAAGCAAGTCACAGAAGTGTGTAACTTAAATTTTGTTTTGTTAATAAAAATGTGCAGATGTTCTTTTTGCTTTCTGCTGTCTTTCATAATGAGCATGGCATTGGCACAAAGACAGAACAAGCTGGACAGGCTTCAAGCTGATTTTCAACGCAAATTCCAATAAACACCTCTTTCTGGACATACTTTGTCATGGGTCCCCTTGTTTTAGGAAGAGTTTTATGTTGGTGTTGTGCGCAGTATTTCTCTGTGATCTGTTTTCAGGATTTCCACTGTGGCACACAGACTTCGAAAATTAAGTGTAACAAGATCATACCTAAAATATAACTTGGATGTTGAGAGCAGGTATCAGCAAATGAATCTCAGAAAAGGAGTCACACTGCCAGACTCTTACGGGCTTCTTGCCATTGTCTTTTTCAGCAAGTTTGGAAGAACAAAGGTGTGATTTGGCAGGTCAAGCAAAAAATACTTCCTGACAGAAGCCTTGGCAGTAGTTGTACTGTGATGTCCAAGTCTTCCTTCGCTCTACCCTAGGTTCTTCTTTGTAATGAGGTTTTGTTAGAGGTCAGTTGAAAAGCAGGAGGCTGTCCCTGCAGTACTGCTGAGACTGTGGCAGTACCGTTCCAAGCCCTTAACATTTACCTCTCCCTGCTGTTTTCTGTGCAGCTGGCAATGAAATGAGTTTTCAGCTATGTTTAGGCCCAGCTCCGGGGAGTATGTTATATATGTTCTTAATTCATGTTTTACTTCAGTGGTGTAACATCTTGGCTAGCCTCTTTCAGCAGAACATTGTTTGCAGCATATTGTAAAGAAGAAAGGAATGATGATTCGGAATGATTAATGCTTTTGGCCATCCTGTGGAGACGTAAGATTTGTTTAAGGAGACTGACATAGCTGCTGCAACTGTATAGGTGCTGGATTTTTTCAGAACTGTAATGGAAAGGGAAGAGGAAGTTGGGGAGTCTTCTGGACTATAACTCTGCCATACCAGTGTTTAAAGCTATTCCTCCATTTATTAAAAACTCATTTTTTAAGTGTTTCTTTTTTTCCCATTGGTAGCTAAGACAAGAAGTTGTAGCCTGCATGCGCCGTGACACAACACTGGAGACAGCACTGAACTCCAAAGCCTATAAACGAAGCAAGCGGCAGACTTTGAGGGAGGCCCGTATGACGGAAAAGCTTGAGAAACAGCAGAAGATAGAACAGGAGAGGAAGCGTAGGCAGAAGCATCAGGTATTTTAACTTATTAGCTGTTTACTCTATCACAGAAATGCACCTTGCTTGGCTGTGCAGATCTTCTCTAATATATTTTATTTCGGAGTTTCTAAGAATAAAAGCCCTTCAACTCATATGATAAGCAATTGGAAAATGGTAAGATTGGAACTTTTGTATTCCTGATTTGATACCTGTGCTTTGTCCAAGTGTCTGCACTAACTTGTTTTCCTTTCTAGGAATACCTGAACAGCATATTGCAGCATGCTAAAGATTTTAAAGAGTACCACCGGTCAGTCGCTGGGAAAATTCAGAAACTTTCTAAAGCTGTGGCAACTTGGCATGCCAACACTGAGCGTGAGCAGAAAAAAGAAACTGAGAGAATTGAGAAAGAAAGAATGAGGAGACTAATGGTAAGGAGTAGAGGAAAGAATATGATTATTTTGGACAAAATTACATACCATATATTTTTAATATTTTATGTATTGTCTCGGCCACACCCCTGTATTTCCTTTGCAGAATCAATCCTCTGTCACACAAAAAGTATAAATCTAAAACTGCTGCAGTTTGATTATGTTTCTTTATGATGATGGTAGTGAATGTGGCACTGTTCATTTTAACCTATAGCTACTTTTTAAAAGGTTTTTGATTAAAACAATTGGTTTTTTCTACCAGCATGAAAACTTAGCAGTTCTGCGTAACATCACTTAATCTCCTTAACTTCATATACTAATGATGTTATATAATTGAAGGGATATTGGGCCATTATTTAAATACTGGACTTTGTTTTCTTTCTAGATGTGTAGTTTTGAAGGTTCCATATGATTAACTTGATAGTTAATGGCATGGCATTACTCTGCAACTTTTACATAAAGCTGATTTTAGATGCAAAAATACATAACTGGTAGCATCAGTGATGTGTCTTGAGAATTAATCGCAGTCAGTTGTACCCAGTAATGCTCCAGGACTGTACTCCTTTTTGCTAGTTCATAGTTCTCCCTTCCTTGCTCCTGCACAGTATCACTTGTATCATTCTTAGTGCAGACTAGAATGGATTTGTGTATAACCATGTCTTTCCAGAACTCTGTCGAACTAATCAGTGACCTGCCTACATTTTGGAAGTTAAAATAATTCTGGAATTTAAAGTGTAGACAGATTAATGCATATGTACAAATACCTTGGCAACTGGAGTTGAAAAAATTTCCGTAAGACATGGATTAGCTCTTTTTAAACGCTTTATTTACACTGTACCAACATAGAAGTGAATGGGAGTTGACATGCTTACTTTGAAACATGCTGGTAAAAAACAGTAAGCATGTAACACAGGTGCAGATGTAACACTAAACTGTAGTCCTTGTCCAGAATCTGTTCCCACCATGAATAAGGACTGAACAGTTTGGTTTTAAAAATCACAAAACTAAATGTAAAAATAATTAAATATAAAAATGACAAAAATTTAGAAATAAAAGTGTGTGTAAAATGTAAATTAAGGACTTACGTAAGAGAATCACAAATATTTAGGCCCTGGAGCATTTCTTCGAATTGCATAATAATCAGCTTTTTTATAATTAGAGATAATTGGCAGCAGTCTATCTAACCAAGCTCATAAAAATGGTAATTGGGGAAAAAAAAGGCAATTAAAAAAAGATGATGTTGATATTTTACAAATATCTTCGTACATCATAAGGTTGAGTTTATGTCAGTCTGACATGTAGTATGGTAAATAATGAACATATCCACTCCAAAAAATATGAAGTAGATTTGAAGGTCCAGAAATGGCACAGGATACCAGTGCTTCCAGAATATCAGTGCTTTCACCTAAGAGTCCTTCGCCAAGGCTGTGGTTAAGTTCTTACCACAGATATAGCACTTCGTAGGCATTTTCAGTTTGGAGCTTTGCACTCAGAAGTCTTTGCTCCTACTGCTCAGTTAAATCCTTCTGCAAAAGCAAACTGTGTGTTATGAGTGAAGTAGTTTTGCCTGTTTATTGGTAGTACAGTTGTGATAAATTTTGAATTTGCAGGTATGTACTAGCGGTTTTTACAAACATTGTCTCTTCTAAGACTCTTGGTGTGGTCCAGGAAAATGTGCTGTGTCTAAAACTCTTTGCATATCTTTTCAGGAAAGTTGAATTCATTCCACAGATTGTGCTTTATTGGCTATGATTAAGGATGGTGATTGTGTCACAGCTCATTAGTACTAGTATATATCACATTGAGGAATGGGCATTGGTATGATTAAAAATGTAGATTCAAGAGCAGGTTGAATCTATAAAAGAAGTACCTTATCTAGATTACAATGACGATGTATTTAGTAGTAATAATAACAATCACAATAACAATAATAATAATTATTTCTAAAAAAATACGTTTTGTGAGTTGTAGTTCTGATAGCCTGAACATTGCAACTGAATTTTACAAGCAATTTTACAAGTTCAATTTGAACATTACAGCTGTTCTTGCCAACTTTCTGCAGGTCTGGTGTCTCTCTAGAAAGGCAGGATATTTTTTTTGTCTCCCAGAGTGCTGTATTTTATTGTAATAATCTTTAAAATATCTGTTAGTTATGTTTGGGTTTTTTATATGCTTGCTTTATTTGTTGCTTTAGCCAAAATTGATAAAGATGTCTCTGCTGCTTTCCTTGTATTTTTCTGACATGCTCAAATGCTGCATTATGGCTTCACAGCACATGAAAGTAGTATTTCCTGGTATGTCTTAACCCTAGCAGCAGACTTATGCAGTGCCGTAGGGATGCAGAAGTTTCCAGAATGATTCAGAGATACAGCTTATCTGGTGAATCTTGTCTCTGATAGTGAATCCTGTCTCTGATAGTGATCTGTATCAAAGATGAAATAACACCAGAGTAGGAAGATGATAGATAATCTGCCCAGAAGAAAATTTTCTTCTAACATCTAGAAGATAAACATTTGTATTCATACTGGAAAAAGGACTAAACACAACTTTGCGTTCAGTTCCCATGTTCTCCCACTGAGTATGGGCTACCTGCATTTCATGTCTTTGAAAAAATAGGAGACTTACCAAGCATCTTTTTGGGGCATTTTAATCTCTTTGAAGTGGCATTAAGTGATTTTTTTTGCCCCCTTTTCTGTGTCATAACTCCTGCAGGTTTTCCATTCATTCATCATGAGAAATATTGAGAAAATGTTTAGAGGTCTCCTGGATCCCGTAGTCACTCAGGCTGACAGGGAGCTTTCTGTTCCAACCACCTTCCCAAAGCAGTGGCAACATTGAGTTCAAAGCAGATTATTTAAGGCTTTTTTCAGTTGTTTTGAAAACATCTAAGGTCAGAAATGGCACAACTTCTGAAGTGCTGCCCAGCCCTTAAGCATATTGACTGCTATCCCCTAGTTTCATGTTATCTGCTCACTTGACTGTAGTGCCCTCCATCCCCTCCTCTGGGTCACTGATAGAGATGTTAAACACAACATGCCCCAGGATAGATCCCTGTGGTATCCCTCTTAATGTCTCCAGATAAGAGTATGACCCTCCACAGCCCAGCAGAGAAGGACTTTAGGGTATTGATGGATGAGAAAACAGTATGAGCCAGCAGTGTGTGCTGGCAGCTCAGAAAGCTAATCGCATCCTGGGCTGCATCAACAGAAGTGTGTCCAGCAGCTCAAGGGAGGTGATTCTGCCCCTCTACTCCACTCTGGTGAGATCCCACCTGGAGTACTGCGTCCAGCTTTCGGGCCCCTGGTGTAAGAAGGACATGGTCCTCTTCAAACAGATCCAGAGCAGGGCCATGATAATGATCAGAGGGCTGGAGCACCTGTACTGTGAAGACAGATTGAGAGACTGTGGGAGAAGAGGAGGCTTTGAGGTGCCTACAAGTACCTGAAGGGGGCCTACAAGAAAGCTAGGGAAGGACTTTTCACAAGAGCATAAAACGACAGGACAAGGGTTAATGGCTTTGAACTCGAAGGGGCTAGATTTAGATTAGACAGTAGGAAGGAATTCTTCACTGTGAGGGTGGTGAGACACTGGCACAGGTTGTCCAGGGAAGTTGTGGATGCCCCCTTCTTGGAAGTGTTCATGGCCAGGGTGGATGAGGTTTTGGGCAGCCTGCTCTGGTGGGGGCGCCCTGCTTGGGTGAGGGGGGCCCCTGCCTGTGGCAGGGGAGTTGGACTGGATGAGCTTTAAGGTCCCTTCCAAGCCAAACCATTCTATGATTCCGTGATTCTCTGACCCATTAACACAAATGTATGACACTCTGGGCCAAATAATCCAATTAGTTCTTTACCCATCTAATTGTCCCTGTATGCAGATCATAATGACCTAACTAAGATAACACTTGATTATTTGCATTAGTAGTTAGTTGATGTTTCTTTGGAAGCATTTCTGTCATGGTTGATGTCTATTTTGCATTACTAGGCTGAAGATGAAGAAGGCTACCGTAAGCTGATAGACCAGAAGAAAGACAGACGCCTGGCTTACCTATTGCAGCAGACAGATGAGTATGTGGCTAACTTGACTAACCTGGTATGGGAGCATAAACAGGCACAAGCAGCCAAAGAGAAGAAGAAGAGAAGGAGAAGAAAGAAGGCGAGTAGTTACAGCTGGTATTTTTTGGGCATCTCTTCTTCAAATCCAATTTTAACGTTGTTAAATGTAATGATACCCAAATTATCATACACATACCAGAGTATCTAGAATGATCTATACTGCCAGATCCTTAGCTCTGATGGAACTTGTCTCTTTCCACTGAAATGTATCAGAAATTTGCTCTCATTGTTTCAAAGGGGGTGAGAAGGAGGCAGGATTAGAAAATTGTGGGCTGTTAACATTGATTTGCTGATAAACTTTCTACAGGCAATATTGAGCCAGACATGTAAATTGCATTTAAAGAACCCAGAAAGTATCTGGAAAAGTATGTGGAAATGGAACAGTACTATTTTCAAAAAAATAATTTTGTGTGTGAGATAATAATTAAGTAATGATTTGATATTTTTGTGATCTCTGAGTACCTTTCATCTCTTATGGGATGGGTAAGAGGATCTTTATAATCAGTTTCCATGCCTGGTTTGCTACTAATTACAGATACAGATAGAAATGATATATTTATATGGTTTCCAAGCAGCACTCTAAATATGCTAATAAATACCAACATATTAAAAAATTGCTAATATTGGAGATTAATAGCCTAAAAAATGCTCCATATTTTCTCCTGTCCCTCTTCAAAACCTTTGTACTTTTTATTGAGAGAATGTTTTTAACATAGGAACAATCCCCTGCCTACAAAGTTAGTATGTAACTTAAGCAAGATTCTTGATCTGTGAGAACAGACCTGATTTAATGTGTGAAATTCACAGCAGAGATAATCCTTAATGAGATAATATGTGGAGTATATGCACAGCTCTAATGGAAAATATTAATTCCTTCAGCAGTCCACGTCTGTGATGTTTCTATTTCTATGTCAGTTTAGCTGAAGTCTGTGTGAGTAATGAAGTACCTTCTGGCCATATCAATAAAGACATAATTTTCTGTCACTGAGGTAAAAAAAAAATATGCCCCATAAATATTCAGTGCTTATAAATATCCCTACCTAAAACCTAAAGGAAGATTAGCAGGGAAAAAAAAATTTCTCAGCTCTGTCTTGCTAATATCTGCAGCTTTTTGTTTGTAATTAAGTACTTTCCACCAAGATTTTGCTCATCAAGGATACAGGAGTGCACACAATTGCTACCCTTTGTTTTAAGTTATATTTCTGTGAATTTGTTGTTGAGTGGCTGTAGCACTCATTGAAGTTAGTGGACACTGTATGTTTTTCTCGGCCATACACTTTTAATACTTACCTATTTATGTAACGTAATCCATGTAAAACACAGTTTAATCTACTAACACCCGTAGTTAAATGTTTTGTACTTAGAGAGAAATTAAAGAAGCGAATTTTTAGGATTTTCTTCTATAAATGGGAATGAAGAAGTAGATGGTGAAGAAGTACTTCCTGTCTTTACCACATCCACACTATATAGTATCCAAGTGAACCGTATATTCTTACAAAAATAAAATTTCAGATTAGTCTATTTTTTCCTCTGGAATGCAGTTTGAGGAATCTTTATGGTAGATTTTCCCTCTATGCTTTTTTCACATTCCTATATTTGCATCTTCTGTCTCCAGCTTCCTGTTCAGCTAGTGTCCCACATCCTCAATGCTGTCATGGATTTAAAAAAGTACATAAATACTCCAAATTAAATTTTCATCTGACAAGACAATTTAACTTGCTATGCAACCTTTCATCTTTATCCATGGGCGTTTTTCTTGTTATTATATGGAGAATGAAGAAAATGTTGCTTTCTACTTCTATAAAATTAGTATTTCCTTAATCAAGGTTTAAATTATCAAAATTAAAGACCTCTTTGCATAACCCGAAACACAAGTATGTGACGTATCTGTCAGTACTTACATTTATCTCCTTTGTAAAATATGTTTCTGCTTTCCAAACTAGTTTTTAACTATAGGTTGTAAATATTTCTGCTCTCATAGCAGGATCTGGTCTTTGCACAGTGAACAACACTGATGCTCACTGCTTATTTGTGATGTTGTGTTTGAGCTGGAAGGTTCTTTCCATTGGTTGTAGCTAAGCTGTAACAATATTTCTATATTAGAGAGTAGTCTCATGCAAAAGAATGGACCCCTCTCCTTGTTACTGATTCAAGGAAAGAATATCCTCAGTCAATGTAGCTTGTTTAGCCAAGGCAGATACGTGCTATTATAACTTATCCTGCCCCTCTGTCTGTTTAAACTCTTCAGTTCTGGTACAGTTACTTACTTTGTCAGCAGATAAACTTGTTGCCTGGGAATGCTGAAGCAAGGAGACTTAAAGCTCGTATTGATGTTGGTCTTACTAAGCATCAGCTACTCTTGGATTGAGTAGGACCAATGACATTTGTGTAGCTGTAGCCCAGTGGAGTATTTATAAGTCTCTCCTTCAGATTATTTTTTGTGTGTTAAAGAATATTATACTTCATAAATATTTTATAAGTTTTAAGCTAGAATTAAGCTTAGCCAGATTTCCATTTTTGATAATACTAGTGAAAGAGTAGTTAACAAAGATAACTAGGCATATGTCCTGAAGTATGAAGGCTGTGTAAAAGAAATAAGAATAAACTTTTCTAAAATGTAGTATTGACCCCTGTCTGGTGCTGCATGTTCATTTGAAGTTCATGCCTTAGAAAATTGACTTTAAGGGCCAAGACAAAAGCATAAGGCTTGATTTGAAGCAGATATTGAGGATCATCTCAATATTTAGAAGTACAGCTATTCCTTAAGTTTACTTCTTAAAAAAAACAAAACATACTAGTGGATTATCTAAATTTATCACACACATTAATGATACTTGAAAGTTGTTTATCTATAAAACACAATTTAAGAGATCTCTTCTTGTTGTTAATCTGATCTGTTTACAGTGGTAATCAAAATGAAAACTATGCTGTAGTGCTACAAACTCAGCATTGTGACAGGATCAGAAGCTGTATTCTATGCTTTCTTGCTCATTGTTTAGGAAAATTCCAATTCAAAAGCAAACTATGTCTTCCATTTTCTTATACTATCCTGACATTTTTAAGTAGGGTAAATGAGGACAGGCTTTGACAAAGATGCTTTGTCAAAGGGGTCCATTCTTGGAGCGGTACATGTGGAGACAAATCTTGCTTACTCAAGCTAAGAACTCCAAGGTTCTTTTTATTTGTAATTTGAGTAATTCTAGTCTAGACTTAATTGAGGTACAGTGCAAAGAAGTCCCAAAATACCCCTTCTAGTTGTCAGACCAAAAAAAATTGTGTACATACACAAAAGTGTCTGCACAGATATACAATCTGTGATGCCTGGTGACACCTCTGAAATTAAAGCACTATAGAGGAAATTAGTAGTAAATCACATGAAAACTACTTACTGTTTTATTTGCATTAGCACAATCTATAAGCAACTGAGTTCTAGGTCTGGACCAGAAATTCAGGAGGCCAGCCACTTCTTATATGTATAGTCACTGTAATGAGTCAGTATGATGTAGTTACCTTATTCGTAGTACTAACTGGTTTGTGTATATGGTAGCAATCCTATGCCTATCCTGTGTTCACCGACACCATAAATTACATGCGTCCCCAGACTATTCAGAAATAGAGTGAAACATACTCATCCTCCACAATGCTTACATCATATAAAGTATTCTCTCTATACTTGTAATCTGACTGTGATATTTTTTACTTCTTCATTTGTTGTAGAAGGCTGAAGAAAATGCAGAAGGAATGGCATCTGGTCTTGGTCCTGATGGAGAGGTATGAATTTTACAAGGTTGTTCTGTTTTTTATAACCAGAAACAAAAACTATCTAAATTATCATTTATGCTAACCTGTTTCTCGTCATAAAGTTGAAGACTAAACAAAAAATATATATTGAATCTGTCAGTGAGTATGCTGAAGAATCCATCTCAGCTTTGTTATATGCTTAAAAGTAAATAGTTATCTTGCAGTTTGTGTGTAGACACAATTTACTTTCTGAAATGAGATTGTAAACAATATATTCTGCCTTCACATTTTTATAAAGTACAATGTTGACATTGCATGTAATTCTCTTTCAGACACAGAACAGACTATAATATTGTGGTGGCTTAAGACATCTGAAAGTTCTTTCTTCCTCAGAAGTAAAGGGAAATGAACAATTTTTCTGTGACATTCTTTGAATAATATTTTTCATTCAGTTGCAGAGCATATGCTGTCTCATTAGGAGCTATTCCATTAGTGCCATTTTTCTTTTCCATTTTTCTATAAAGACTATAGAATTGTATTTATTGTTGTCCTTCTGATCTTTTTTTATATTTGCAAGGGATACTTTTGCTGATATAGTTAGAGGTATAGCAAAATCTTTTCATATGGTTATGGTTGCACAAGGAAAATGCACATAACGTTCCTATAACTTCCATATTTATGGAAATGGGTTAAGTTTTATACTTTTTCAGTTACTGTATTTAAAACTGCTCAGGATTTTTACTTTTTGTTTTCATATATATGTATAAGGAGAAGATTCTTCAGTAGAAGCAGTAGTAGAAGGCAAAAAGTTTTTAAAGTAGAAGATCTATGATTAAACAAGGCAAAGAAATAACAGAAAAAGTAATGATGCTATTCTCGTTTTGTTAGAACATCAGAATAAAGAAAAGATTTTGTTATTGCAGGTGCTTTATCAGCTTAATCGAAGAAGTCAGGACATTGAATCTTTAAAACAAGCCTTCTTTACTGAAAAGTTAGCTAAATTACTATGCTAATGGTTATTATTATAAGGTCAATGTATGTTTTCTGTTACAGATGTCCATTGGTGTAAATAACAGGATGAAATGCCTATAAGCATACATATCTTGTGTATTGTTTCAGAGAAGCCAACATTGTATTCTTTTCCATAGTGTTCTTGTTAATTTATTTGGAATACTGTGATGTATTTGAGGACATCGCAGAGAATATATTATACACAGAAATACTGTAACTCAGTATTTGCTTGGTAGCCATATGGGACAGTGTGGCTTGTAATAAAAAAAACCTGCTTGATCAGATCTGAAATTTTGAAGGTGCTATTCATTCTTTTTATTATGTATGACAGGTATTAAATTAAGTTGCCTTATGGTATAAAATTTCATTTGAATTTGTAGCCCATAGATGAGAGCAGCCAGATGAGTGACCTTCCAGTCAAAGTGACTCACACAGAAACAGGCAAAGTTCTTCTTGGACCAGAAGCACCAAAAGCAAGTCAGCTGGATGCTTGGCTGGAAATGAATCCTGGGTAAGTAGTTAGCATAGAAATAGGCTGCTTTTTCTGTTTGGTTTGTTATTTTTTCATGGGCTTCACCTACTTATTTTTTTTTCTTTTTAAAAAGTCTCTTCTATTCTAGTGTAGTCTAGTCTATTCTATTCATTATGTGTAAGATTATTAGATTTATTGAACCTAATCTCTCCTCTTTTTATCTGTAATTCATAATCTTTCTCTTGTCTTTTTACAGCTATGAAGTTGCTCCCAGGTCAGACAGTGAAGATGAAAGTGGCTCTGAATATGAGGAGGAGGTATGCGTCTTTAAACAAAAATACTGTGACAAGTAATTCGGTAAAAACCAAGTACATATTCCATGTGATGTTTTCCTCTTTTTTTACATAAGGAAGTAAGGGAAAGTCATAACAGGTGTGTAGATGTTTTAAGAATTATGCAAACAGGAAAAGTAACTGGTTTTGTAATTCTTTTCAGTTCATTGCAGTTGCCCTTTATAGGCTGTAAACGGCTAAGTAATAATTGGGGTTATAAAAAGTAAATATTTTACTCTGACTTAATAATTGTGAATCAGAGAATATAAACAGTTCCTATTTTAAAATATATATTAGAGAAGGATGTATTGTGGCTATGTGCTGAATGAAGTTGACATGTTTAATGTTTATGCATTGGAGATTTTATTGGTAAATCTGAATAACGCAGTTATTTTTATATTACATTTATTAAAAACCTAGGGATTATCTCAGGGTTTTATGCTCAGACTCTTCAGGGTAGGCTTATTTGATTCAGTACTTTAGTGGTGATTTAAATACTATAAATACAAAATTTCTAAAAAGAGTCTTAAAACAAAGATCTCAACCCTGCAGTGTTGTAATATTAGAAAATAATTTTTCAGACAAGTACTTTCTAAAGGAGAGAAAAGCTGATGAGTAGAGAAGGACCATGTTTAATCAACAGGCTAGTGGCAGAACTAGGTATGGAATTCAGTTCTCCTAAGTCTTTCTGTCTTTACAGTCCAGATCAAATGACAACTGAAACTGACTGGACTGTATAGTGCTAAGGTATATGCCTTTGTAGGACTGATTACTGCTCATGTGATTCTACAAGACTGTCAGTATTAAGGTAGGTGGGGAGGACCTAATGCCTGTCAGATTCTAGGAGGAATGTTAAAAGAGATGTGTCCACATTTTTAGCACAGACTCTTTAGCAGCAGCTGCAGAGACCATTCCTAGGAGAATACAGTTGTAGAACTCAGAGCAGTGTTTTTTTACAGCTTCATTAGTGAGATTTTAAGTTGTTGGTTTTGTGTTGTAATTGTAGCCATAAGACAAATTATTTTTAAAGGAGAAAAATGCGGTCTGTTTTTTAAAAGTTAAGAAGCTAGAAGCCTGAAACAGCAGTTCTTGGCAGTTTTTAAGCTTTATGAAATTATCACACATCTGGAATATGATATAAACACATACAAGGTAGTGGAATTCTCTCCAGGAACACAGTAGACAGAGTAAACCTTTTAAAAGTAAGATTATGAAAGAGGAAAATGCTCTCTGTTTCAAGGTATCATGACTTCCTGTTGGTTAATGTATGTAAAAAATTACCTTCTTGCTATACTGCAGTGCAAGTCTGTTGCAGAACAGATGTAAGTTGAAATTGTGATTCAGGTTTCTGTCATAAAGCATTGAACAATGAAAGCTACCAGTATGTGAATGCCAGTTGAAAGTATAGATTAGGAAAATGTTGCACGTCCCAGCAACTCTGTTCTTTTTCTGTATTCTATAGGATGATGAAGAAGAATCAAGCAGGTTAGAAGCAGATGAGAAGATACTCCTGGATCCTAACAGTGAGGAAGTTTCTGAGAAAGATGCAAAGCAAATAATTGAGTGAGTGTACTTTAGGTATTTTTTTTTCTTATTAGGAATTGTGATTTCTTATGGTGGTGTTTCCCGAGAGTAGCTTACTCTAGGTTACAGTGACTTGTGGTAGCTTCTGCAGCTTGAACATCTGCAGGAGAAGAAGCATGACCATTTTGGTATTAATTGTGTTCTGTTGATAAAGTAGCTTGCACTCTTTGGTGTACTCACCACAGTTGGGGATTTTCACTGTTTCCTTTGTGAGCTGTGGTCAAAAAAGCTGTTTGTTTGTTCATGGGAATTCACTTTAGTGAATTCACTTTTTCTGCTTTCCAGGACAGCCAAACAAGATGTGGATGATGAATATAGCATGCAGTACAGTGCTAGAGGGTCTCAGTCCTACTACACTGTTGCTCACGCAATCACAGAAAGGGTGGAAAAGCAGTCTTCTCTTCTGATTAATGGCACACTAAAACATTATCAGGTGAGAAATCATTTAAACATTAAAATATTTACAAGTTGGAATTACGCTTCACATTTCAGTGTGCTATTTCAAGTAGCAAACTGAAAATTTGTTAAGAAATACAAGATCTCTAGTAGGTTAGAATTCGGTTATTATATGAACAAAGCAGTGACAGTTACCCATCACAGATAGTATTTTATATGTTCTGCTGAAATAATAATACCAGCTTTGTGCATACACACCTGTAGCTTTTTTCGCATTGCAGACCAATACTATTTTGGTTTTGCTATCCTTCTCATTGGTCAGGAATTTAAATTCTGCTTTTTTTTTTTTCATTTGTGATGGGTTAACAATATTTTTCTTCCAATATTTAAAAGTTTAGGATTTTCTTTTTTAATTAAGATCCTAGTGTTTCAGTGCAATAATTGATTAAAATTTGGAAAGAAGAAAAATGTCTCATATTCCCAACAGGCATTCAGTGGGTTTAGTAAGTAGGAATGCTGTATTCTGGTGTAAACTATGTTAATGTATGATTGAAAATGTCCTTGGTACATGTTTTTAACACTTCTGCTATTGTACAGTTTTCTAGGAAACGCTAAGAACCTGCATCTTTTCTGCAGTCAGAACAGTATTTCTATATCCACATAAAACAGTGAATAATACTTACTCACCAAGATGTCATAAAGATGTATATCTGTTTCTGCTTGCAAAGAACTAGGAGGAAGACTGTTTGCTAAATGTGCAAAGTGTTATGATTACAGCCCCTACTTCCCGTGCTCCTCAGCACTGCCATCTATTACAGATTAAATAATTTAGAATTTAAGAGTTAAGCTGATCTTTCTTTTCAAAGCATTTTAGTATTTTTATATTGGGCTTCTCACTGTGGGACAATGTGGGAAATCTATAATAGACAGTGAACAAAACCTGAAACAAGAGGGTTCTGATTGGGTGTACAGAAGAGGACAGCACCACTCAGAAGCTCAGAGATGTTTTACTCAGGAGGCTTTCAGTTGTTGACCATGTAAAGCCTTAAGCAGTCTGGCCCCACGGCTGGACCTACTTTGGACAAGGAATTTGCCAGAGACTGCCTGAGGTCTGTTCCAAACTGAATAATCCTATGATCCTACTTGTTCATAGCGAAACTCCATCTGAATTTGAAGTCTGTTGTGAATTCTTAGCACTTCTAGGTGTGCCTGGAGAAGAGAAGGCTCCAAGAGACATCGTTGTGGCCTTCTAGTACCTGAAAGGGGCCTACAAGAAAGCTGGAGAGGGACTTTTCAAAAGGACATGTAGTGATAGGATGAGGGATAATGGCCTCAAACTGGAAGAGGGTAGATTTAGATTGGACATTAGGAAGAAATTCTTTACTGTGAGTGTGGTAAGACACTGGCACAGGTTGCCCAGGGAAATTGTGGATGCTCCCTCCCTGGCAGTGTTCAAGGCCAGGTTGGATGGGGCTCTGAGCAACCTGGTTTGGTGGGAGGTGTCCCTGTTTATGGCAGGGCAGTTGGACAGATGATCTTTAAGGTCCCTTCCAAATCTAACCATTCTGTGATTGTATAAATTTCAAACTAGAGAATGAAATTATAAAGTTACAGTTGCTCCAAAAAAAAAGGGTGGGGGCTTAAAACTAAAGAGGCTGGCTCATTCAGGGACATTCAGGGCAGTGTCATTCAGGGACTGATTTTGAACATGATAGGTTAAGTAACTTTTCTGGCACCACTAAGGAATACAATGACTAAGACAAGATAGAATCCAACCATATAGAGAAATATGCCACTCTTTCAGCTATGATGCTCTCTTTATTCTTGCTCCGTTATTGTCAGTATGTTGTCCAGCTTGTGCACCCAATGAAGCCGGGAGCCGACAAATGTGATCAGCAGCCAGAGTAATCCTGATATACTGTCTGGGAAGGTTTGCCTGATATATTCACTAAATTAATAGTGTATAAAAATATTAATTTGATAGCTTTTTCCTATAATTTGCTTAAATTGGTCACAGATGGGAAATTAAGATTGTGCTAATTCTATTACTTCTGAATTGTAATTACAATTACAGGCAGATCTGTCTTTTTGCAATGCAATTTCCCTCTGTGCCACAAAGCAACATAATTCAGTCTGTGGAGTTACATGACAGTTAGGCATTACTAATTAGAGCAGGTCCTTTAGCTGCTCGATGTGATATTTATCAATTGAATCAGTAGATTTGTTCTTCATGGTGTCTCTTCTATACAGAATTGCTCTAGAGGTAAGAGGCAGATTCGCCTAAGGGCCTTTATGTCAGGAGCATTGAGTCTTTGCTTTGGTTCGAGCAAGAATGTTCCAAAGGACACTGTTCTGCAACTCTCCCCTTCATTCCCTGAATTTCCATGTCTGCTGGATTTTACATGCTCTTTTCTTCTCAACTTTTTTTCTGCTTTTCCATGTTTTTCACTGCCAAGTTTGGTCAGACTGTCTCTTCCTTCATATCCGTGTACATGGAGAAAGTTCACTGATGTAGAAAAGACAGTTTTCACATTCTTGATTCTGAAGCGACTTTGCAAGTGAGGCAGGTGGTTGCAGAACAAATTGTGATCAGCTCTTGGTAGCTTGGGTATTTAATATCTAAATAGAAATCAGCATGTACATAAAACTAGTAAATTGGCAACATTCTTTTCAATACTCTCTCACAGGGACAACAGAAGATTACTTCAAGCATGTAGTATTTTCTCTCTGTACCGTCTCAGGCCTATTAATTTACTTTTCTCTCCATGCGTGAGACACACTGAAAGTCTAGATCTTAGAAGCAAAGACTTATTTTGCACTTGCATGAGTAATGTGATACACATGTATGTGGAAGTCTGTGTGATGAGGGAATAATCTGAGTCAATGCTTTCTAGCAGTACTCCTTGGAGTGTGAAACACTGTTATGTAGACATTTCTTAGCTACAGTACTCTGGCTTCCTTTCAGCTCAGAGAATTTTATTACATAAGGCATAAGTGGACAAAGGGGGCCTATTCTGACATGTGGAGGTTTGGACAGCATACGCTACATGGATGTGTGCTTACAACAGCTTTAGCCTACCAGTGATGCATTTGGCATATGTGAAGCTTACATGTTTTGCACAGACTTGATGGGTTTGATTTTGAAAGATTTTCATTGACTTGGGCAAATAGCATGAAATATTTGCAGAAAGTTTAACATTTGACAGTGTTGGAGCTGAAGAACAAACTCTTGTAATGTTAAGTATTTATCAACCTTACATGTGAGCACCTATGTTGCTTTGTAAGCAGTACAATAAAACCTCCATATGTGAAGTCTGACTTCATATTATGAGATCTGCTGAACAGGAGTGATGATTTCCATATAGCTGTCACCAGGAATTTATCTTGGTATGGGTTTTTGTTGTCTTGTTTGGTTTTGGTTTTTGTGGGGGGAAGCTGTTAAGACAGCCAGGGATCCCTGTGCATACAATGTCTTAAGTAAGCAGGGACATCAGAACCTTGTTCTGTAATACTAATTATTTGTGCAGGTTTTAAATAACTGAAACTATTATTATTCATTTCAGCTCCAGGGACTGGAGTGGATGGTTTCACTCTATAATAACAATCTGAATGGAATTTTAGCTGATGAAATGGGACTAGGAAAGACTATACAGACTATTGCACTCATCACTTACCTGATGGAGCACAAAAGACTCAATGGCCCCTATCTCATCATTGTTCCCCTTTCGTAAGTAAAGGATCTCTTCCTGCTATTATCATTCTAAGCATTGCAGATTGATTTATTTGGAGAAAACACTTGTTTTTCATGTAATGACAAGATGAGGTGAGCAGCGGGATTACACTAAGTATCTATTAAATGTTTTCTATGATTGCTTTTTCCCAGATAATTATCTGGCACTGGAAGGCTGACCAAAAGTCTGATAAACCGCTTAATTCCATTGGTTTCACTGTCCACTCTTGCAAATGTGGTGAATTTACTGTAATTCACTCTTAAGCCACAGGAGGGAATGGTAGTTCTTTCATATTACATGCCTACAGTTCCCCATTTAACTTTTAACTGTGATAGTGAAAAATCTGTTGCTTAATTTTTTAAACAACTGGCATCCCATCTGATACCAAGTAATCCGGCTTTAATGAGGTTGGATGATCTTTTAAGTACTGTATAACTAGCCTTGGATGTGGGCTTGATCAGTGATATTCACACTTTGTCAGGCATCCAGATCATGATTGTTCATTGTGCTCCCCCCTTTTGCTTTTCCTTAGCTATCTAAGATGCTGGTTGTTTTATACATTTATTTTACTGCATTTTCCTTTCTGCAAAAGTGAGGTGTGTGTTTTAGTGATTGGAAGTGCTGTGTTTTAAATAAAAAACGTCATTGTAAAACTGATACTGAGGGATTGATTGCTTATTTTTGTGTGTAAGTGACTTGATTGATGTGCAGAAGCTCCCTGGCCTTTTTTTAATTTTATTTGTTCACCAGTTGTGCTGACTGTGCAGATCTGTTGTAGAACTGGGATACATTTTATTTGTGGCCATCTGTTTTGATTTCTTTTGAGGTATCCTGTCTTCTGGCTGAGCTGCAGTGGTATCTGATTCACTAACATAAATACCACAGCTGTACTTAGTTCTATGATTACAATGATAACTTATGTTGTGAAGGCTGGGGGAAGATCTATAAAATAAAACACAGTAAAAAATAATGTGGTGTTATTAATGACATATTTCACACAGGCACAGTAAAAGAAACAGTTTTCTCTTAAGTATTCTGTAACAGTGTTTCTAAAAGAGAGGAGCTGAAATTTCTTTCTTGTATACATTTTAAAAGTTGCCTTTCCTTGCCTTTTCTTAATAGCTAGTACTGCTGCCATCACAGGTCCAGTAATGAAATAAAAAACAAATGCTAACAACCAAAAACTTCAAGGTTATTTCTTGCTGCTGTGTCATGATAGCAACTACCTTAGCCTGAAAAACCTGTTTTTTGTGATCAAAAAGCAGAAACAGAGTGCAAAAATCGACCTGCATAGTGGCACTAGGTGGCACTATGTGTATTCCTACTTGAGTAGAACAAAGATAAATTCTATTACCAGCTTCATGAGGCTGTATTTGAAAGTTGTAAAGTCAGTTTTTGGATTATAAGTAGTGTAAAAGGAAGTACAAATCTCTTTTTGTTCAGGCTTATCTTTCTTAATATGTTGCAAAATACAAAGATGCACATAAAATACTACTCTGAATTGGTTTCAGAGAGACACTTGATTATGAACTGAAAGAGAGCTTCACACTTTTTTTCTTTGTTGACTCCTCTCTTAGAGATGGTTATACTTTATTACAGTATATAAAGTGCATTTTTAAAACTATACTGTTAATTGTGGGGGTTGATTACATGAAATGTGTTGAAAAGTTGGCAGTTACTTGGAAACATTTATAAAGTTTGACCTGCAAATGATGAAATCTGTTAATTTTCCTTTGTAATCTCTATGATAGGACTTTATCCAATTGGACATACGAATTTGACAAATGGGCTCCTTCTGTGGTGAAGATATCTTACAAGGTTTGATTTGCTTTTTATATGATTATGTAGTTGAAGGAATGAGAATAAAGCCTGCTTTTCCTCTGCCTTGCATTCATTTCTAAACTGTTTGCTTGTGAAGTTTTGTCATTTATGTCAGGTACTAAGCAGTGAGAGTTAATCTGATTAAGAAGACTACTGTAATTAAATACTTTCACATAGTGAAATGCAGAATTAAATTGTTAATTATCACGTTGCAAGGCTTCTGATGGAAGTAATACAAATTATAACTACTTCATATTTTATACATAGCAGAATAATTTGCTGCATGGCTACTGTAGTAGTGGTGTGGCCAAGCAATCTGTGAAGAGTCTAAACTGCTAGCTACATTTTTCCAGTGCCCCATAAACAGGGTTTTACAGTCTTGCAGCAGTTTAGGAAAAGCACTGAAGAAGTCTGGAATGCACTGTTACGTTGTTTGCAGTACTGCGTGTTTACAAGTTCGTGTGGTTGCTCTGTGTTGGCTGATTCATAAAACATATTTTCCTCATCATAAGAAAGAGTAACTACTCACTTCTCTCCCTCTTTTTAGGGTACACCTGCAATGCGCCGCTCACTTGTTCCTCAGCTTCGAAGTGGAAAATTTAATGTTCTTTTAACTACTTATGAGTACATAATAAAGGACAAACATATCCTTGCTAAGGTAATACTGACTGTCATCTCTTAAGAGCAAGATCTTCAAGACACCTTCAGATGCTGCATAGCACAAAACACATTCATCAGTTGTAATTCTGTCCTTTCATAAAAGTTTAACCTTTCCTTTCCTATTCTGTTTATGATTGGACTTCTCAGTCACAGCTCTTCTCCCTGTGAACACTAGAATTTTCCTGAATGTGGCCGGGAGAGTAATTCCTTTGTGAAATTCTGTCAGTACTGTATACCTGCTTGTCAAAGGAAAACTATGATTTTTCTGCCCTCTGCTTAATAGCATTTAACCTAGTCTGCAGTCCTGACTTTAAATTTTTTTTTCTGTTGTTTCTGAATTGATTCTTACTATTATTAGAGCCTTTCCGGCTGTATGGTCACTTTTCCCCAGATGACTGAATAGTTACCTGAATCATGAATTTGGTATCCGGGCTCTTTACTACATAGGGCCCAGTTCTTAGAGGCTTGCTAACTGTCAACAGGTGTTCTTCAAATGTAATGACTTAGTTTGAAAGCTGCTGCACTGTAAGGCTATTTAATGTGCACACACGTATGTGCCTTCTTTCTGTAACATACTGCATATTTAGATTATTCATTTTTCCTCTTTGATACAAAGGAAGTGCCTTTTCTTAGCATAAGACGACTTTGGAAAAGTTTGAGACTGCAGTTTTTCTTCCCCTCTAGCTTTTGCCTGCCCTTGCTAAAAGATGTGAAGGATAGCACTATGCCATTCAGCTTGTCCTGCAAAATGGAATTAGCTAGCATCTATGAAAGTACAAACTGAGGCCTTCCTAGTCATATGGTCAGTCTAGCATGTATGTTAACTGTGCATGTTGTAGTACAGGTGGTAAGAGAGAGCTTGAGCAGCTTACTTTCAGCATCTGTTATGACTGTATTTAAACTTCCACATTAAGAAATAGACACTTCAGTTGAAAATGCAGTAGCTGAGATGAGATGATCATAATTATGCTTCATTTTTGAGTAAGAACTTGAAAACAAAGTTGAGGGTTGCTCTTGTTTGTGAGCGTAGTTATTTTGTCTGAAAATGTTTTTGTTCTCTGTCAAGGTTCCTGTTGCAGACAGGTTTATCTGGAGTTTATATGGTCTCTTTCTACCCATGTGAACCATGTACTGGTTTTGAAGAGAAGGTCGCCCTAATTTCTTTCCCACAAATGGAAGGAATCCAGTGTTTGCTGTTGTAATTCAAGTTAGAATACAGCATCAGATTCAGCATACTGAATCTTTATATTTTTGCTGCTTGCAAGGACACTGGTACTTGGATAATACATGATTTGGCTTTTCTCATAAATGAGAATCACTGATGTCTCAGGCTTGAAATTATTTTTTTTTCTACACCTGCAGAGAGGAATTTGACCTGCTCTAATTGCCAAGTTTTCTTCTTTTTCTTGCAGATTCGTTGGAAATACATGATAGTAGATGAAGGCCATCGGATGAAGAACCATCACTGCAAGCTGACTCAGGTCTTGAATACTCACTATGTGGCCCCGAGGCGAATCCTGCTGACTGGGACTCCATTGCAGAACAAACTGCCTGAACTCTGGGCTCTTCTCAATTTCCTACTCCCAACCATTTTCAAGAGCTGTAGCACCTTTGAACAGTGGTTCAACGCTCCATTTGCCATGACTGGAGAATGAAGAACCATCACTGCAAGCTGACTCAGGTCTTGAATACTCACTATGTGGCCCCGAGGCGAATCCTGCTGACTGGGACTCCATTGCAGAACAAACTGCCTGGACTCTGGGCTCTTCTCAATTTCCTACTCCCAACCATTTTCAAGAGCTGTAGCACCTTTGAACAGTGGTTCAACGCTCCATTTGCCATGACTGGAGAAAGGGTACTGTGGCAGGTTTTTTTTTAAAACATCAGAAACAAACCACTTTGATGAAAACAGGAGCTTATACAGAAGGATTAGTGTTTGAACTCTCCCTGGTACTTAGGGAATTAACATAACTAAAAGCTACCTTTTTTATAAAGCCAGAAAATTCTAGTATCAGTGTCTTTTTTGACTGGAAGTCAGTTTGGTTGTAATTAGTTATTGCATACACTTAACCTTTCATGTGAGAGAGGACATTATCGAATATACTGAGTTGCCTTGTAGTGATTTTATGAACTTCTGTAGGTGGACTCTGCTGAGAAGATTGAAGAAAGAGGTTGAGTCTCAACTGCCAGAAAAGGTTTGCAAAGAGAGAAGTTGTGGAAGGCGTTTAATACTTTTTTAAAGCATTATGTAATGTTCCTTTTTCAGATTTAAGTTACAGAAGAGGACTTACTTAGTATTTGTTATTGTTTTGGTTTTTTTATAACTCTGCAAAGAAAGTTGGTCATTGAGGAGAGAAGATTGAAGAAAGAGGTTGAGTCTCAACTGCCAGAAAAGGTTTGCAAAGAGAGAAGTTGTGGAAGGCGTTTAATACTTTTTTAAAGCATTATGTAATGTTCCTTTTTCAGATTTAAGTTACAGAAGAGGACTTACTTAGTATTTGTTATTGTTTTGGTTTTTTTATAACTCTGCAAAGAAAGTTGGTCATTGAGGAAGCCTGAAGTTTCTCCAGTCTTACAGATTTAATTCTGTTTGTAGTCATTCATATAAGAATGCAACTTATTTCCGTCATATATGGTTTCAAGTTGTAAGTGAGTTAGCCATACACTGAGGATAACATTCTGTCCTGTCCCATCTTCCCTGCACTGGGTAGAACCTTTGCTCACTTAACTAGTTCTCTGGAATTCTTAAGTGACTACTGGACTTTATAGTATAAACAGGCAGAATTTGGTCCTGTGTAAATATTCCAGGAGTTATCTGAAGTGTCTTGTTGAAATTGCACAGGTTTTTTTTTAAATCAGTGGCTTTTTAATTCAGATAAAATTCTCTTCTGATTTAAAAGATCATTGTTTTTATCTCTGGGCAACTCATCTTGCCCTATCCTATTCTCCTCTGCAATCTTGCATCCCTTTTTCCCATTTACCCTTCCCAGAATAACAACAGCAACTAAATAAAAAATAAATTTGAAGGCGTGCTTGGGAAAGTTTGGTGCTAAGGTCAACTGGATTAAAAGCTTACCAGTATGAAATTTTTGTAAGTTGCGTTGTCAGCTGACTGACACTGGCTGAATGACTGAAGAGCTCTGTACAGATACTCAGTGACAGTACTCAAAGGCCTTTAAAAATTTCCTTCTTGTCCTTATAATGTTGTAAATACTATTATTGTTGTGACTTTCTGTTCTTCAAGTGTCAGATTCTCAGTATCCTCAGAAGCATTTATTTGAGAATGAAACATTCTTACATTTAAAAATATTACTGAAATCTTTATTCAAATTTCTGCATAGCCACCAAATTTGATAAATGCATTAATGTGCATTGGAGGAAGATTTAGAAGTTGCACGCACACTGAGACACAGAGGACCATGTTTCTTTTTGTTTCCGTTATCTTGTTTACCAAAAAAAGCAACTGGTCCAACCATGAAAACTGAACTTGTTAACTGAAGGCTGTTAATCAGTTGCATTAGATCTTATAAATCTTGGTAAAGAAGCCATTGAAGATATGGTCACTTCTCTTCAATGAGTTCATCCTCCTGTCTTTCTGGAAAGAATACAGCCTGATAATTTTTATTCAATTTATTTATTAAACATTAGGAAACTTATACATTTTCTTTTAGTCACCACTTGAAAGACTTCTAGCTACTAGTGTGGCTTTATTATATGACTATTTTTATTTTACATAACTTAATAAAAACATAATGACTGTAATCTGGATATTGGGTAGTAGGAAAAATCAGTTAAATTGGGCTATAATGTATTTGTATTACTAGATTTAAAGGTAGTGTGCAGTCTAAAGCTGCTTTACTTAGTATAGTTTTAGAAAGCTGAACAAGAAGACAGACTGAACCTGAGCATCATACAGTACTTTGTTAATTGCCTATGTTTTTAGTTGATGTTGAGAAAACGGCCTATTTCTGTGCCCACCTAGGTAAGCATAACGCTAGTTAGACACTATGATGGATGCTTATTTGCTAGTTATACAATGATATTTTTGTAATGCTTAGCTTTATATTTTTATAATGCTTAGCTTTATATTTTTATAATGCTTTACAGAGATAATAAAATCCACAGATTATTAAGCATAAAATCTTTTTTAAAATTACGTATTGAATGTAAAATAAATAAATTTTTATTTTTAATTGTTAATATTACAGAATGAGAAAAAATATGTTTGGCAATTCTGCAATTACATTCTTAGTATCCAACTGTCTTATAGTACTTGTGACTCACAGATAGACATTGCTAGGCTTGCAGTTGGATTGCTGCTCACTGAAATTATGTGCGGTGTTAGGGTGCAGATAATAGTTTTTTGGTTTATGTTTTGGAATGACAAGAACCTACAGTTAGAGCCTACTAACATCATTATGTCAGTGTGGGATTTTTATGTGTTTTTTATTTTTGGTTATTTTTGTTTATATTAGGTGGAATATGTGATCAAATGTGATATGTCAGCTCTTCAGAAAATCTTGTACCGTCACATGCAAGCCAAGGGGATCCTTCTCACAGATGGTTCTGAAAAAGACAAGAAGGTACGAGACAGAGACTAAAACTTGTAGGGAACAATGTATTACAATTAAACATGCTAACAATATTATTTCAATATTATAAAATTAATATGTAGGCTTTTACTTCAGGTAACTGTCATGAGGGAAAAGGTATCTGTCAGATGTCCTTCTGTTTTACAAGACTGCAGCTCATGCTGTCTGTTCACAAGGAAGAGACATTACTGGTATTCACTGTAGTTACAATGCCTTTCTGCAAGAAGGCAGTGTTTGAAAAAACCGCTATTTCGCCTGGTCAAACTTAATCCAATAATGTACCTGAATAACTGTGATTGTGGCAGTGCTGGCTACAGAAGGTCATCCATCTTGTCTTTCAGAGCTACTAGTTAAGCCTTGTTTCAGCCAGCTAGGGCTGTGTGCTTGCATTCATACTTATGAGATATGTTAATGAGAAATCTCTTTAAAACATCAGTGTGATTCAAAGTCATGTAGTCAGATTTAGGCTATGTATTAGTATATAATGTAATCAAATAGTATGCTTTTCCCCGATTTTACCACTGGAAATTGCTAAATTGTAATAAAGCAAAGTGGCGTCCTAAAGCAACAAGTGTTTGGCAATGTTGATATGATTTGGTGTTCTCAAACTTGTATCCACTGCTTGCAATTAGTTTTTAACCATACAGTTTAATCTAGCACAACTGAATATTGTCTGAAGTCTGTCCTGGTTCTAAAAAGATTCACTGTAGAGTAGGTTTTGAGAATATACTTTATTAAATACTAAGATGACACATGAGGTTTGGCTACCTCTAGCTTTTTAGTTGCCTGGGGCCCTATGTTTTACTTGGCCTGCAAAGAGAAACCCATATATCTAGTTAGATAGGAGGAGATACTGTAGCATCTGAAAAGCATTTGGCCAGAATAATTTCCTCTTAGAGGGTTCAGACATGATGGAATTTGTATGTTTTCATAATAGGCAGTATAAATAAGCAGTATGCAAGACAATAGATATTCTGCTTCCCACTGTGAATACTGCAGGTAGATACATAGTGCACTTAGTGGATGACTTCCAGGACTTCCTTTTTAGTTGCAGAGCATTCTTAGGATAGATTAATTTATACAGCAAGATGACTGCACAGTAACTTTTGGCTTTTTTTGTTGTTGTTGTTGATTTGGGTGGGGTTTTTTATTAGTGATGCAGTGTTCAGATTTGGTAGAAGGCTCCTTCTGTTTTGGGGTAGAAGTATTTTTATGCCTGCGTGTAATAATATCTTTAAAAAACTTTATTAATAAGCTAAGAAATTAGATTCATTTTTTGATTTGCATTGTTTGTACCCATAGGGAAAAGGTGGGGCGAAAACTCTTATGAATACTATCATGCAATTGAGAAAGATATGCAATCACCCTTACATGTTTCAACACATTGAGGTAAGACTGACATGTTTTATTTTGAGAGTTGCCTTTATTCAGATGGCTACCATAATAGAAAACTGCTGTTGATGCTTATGTGCTGAAAAGGATGCATTTGAAAAACATTATCATTGCAGTGCTTTATTTTTAGGAACAAATGGACCCATTGCCAGCTTTTTATTGGTAATCTGAAATCTAATTTTAAAACCTTTGATCTTGTGGAAAAACTGCATCTAAAAAAATTTGTTTTGGTTTTTGGTTTTTTTTGTGGGTTTTTTTTTCATTTAAGACATTCCAAAACAACTTAATCTCTACGTAGACCTAATTTACGATGTAGAGGCACTACTTAAAAAGGCCACATGTAGGAGCTTTATAACTGGCAGGCTCCTAATCTTTTACAGTATCAACCCAAATTGTTATATTCTGTCCACTTTGTTCTTTCAGCAAAAATGCTATCTGTGTAGCATCTCTCATTAGGACAAAAAGTACATAAATATTATAATGTATCTGGAAAGTTAGAAAGTGTTGGAAATATCTGGAATGTAGCTACATTTATGAATGAATAAGTACCTACTGTGGTGTATTATCATTGTAGTTTTCACTCTTTGTTCTCTTGCATGCTGATTGAGTAATTTGCAAATTGATCTTCCAGTAATTAGTATAAATTAATTAAGTTCTACTGTATTTGTAATCTGGTAAAATGTATGCTGGCAGCAGTAACTTCTGCAAATCATGAATTTCAAATAATAGTAGTAGAGGAAAACACTAAGCAGAGCACTGTTGCTGCAAGATAGATTCCAAGAGTAAGAACATAACGGAACTCAGACTCAAATGCTCATATATGTAATTTTGTGATAGAAAAATGCATAATTTTGGGTTACTGTGTAGTGTGTAATAATCTGTTTATTGCTTATAACTCTGCAGGAGTCCTTTGCTGAACATTTAGGCTACTCAAATGGCGTCATCAATGGGTAACTCATTTAGATTGTCTTGTTCATAATGTTGTATTAGAACTAACGTATCACTTTATTTTTCTAGAAGATGCTTGCTAACAAACTTGAGCAGGTTATAGAAAGACAGAGGAGGCACAGGGCAAATATCTAAAGCAGAATATAACAGTACTGGAATTGTTACATGAGTTGTTTATGAACTTTCATCTATTTCGGTAGGACAGGCAGAGAAGTTTGTAAACACATATCTTCCTTTCCCTTTATTTTGAAATAGGTTAGAATAGAATTAATTCCTTTGGAATGAAAGTTCAGAGACACCAGTGGGGGTTTTCTTCTCTTTGTAACTTTTACCTTTTGCTTTTTTCTCTTTACCATCTTTATTCCAAATTAAAGTAGCGTTTCTTCCATTATTTGAAATTAAATAGATTTAAATTTTGTTCTTGGCATTTCCTTATGCAACTGTCTAGAAATGGATGCTTTCTAAAGGAAAGGCGTGTATCTTCCACTTGACCCCCTTCCTGTTTAGGTGTTGATGACATTAATTTCTTTTTTCCTTAAAAAGTTTACTAGACCTTTTGTCTCCTAAGCTAGTATACCAGACTGCTTGTCTCCTAAACAGTTTAGTCTTTTGCTGATTACATATGTATGCATTCCAGAAGGCCATGTATCCTGCGGACTTAAGTATATCATTGCTAATGATAAATCGTATTTTGAGAGTACAGACTCAAAGTTAGAAAAAAGGTCACATAAAATTTATTTTTGTAAAGTATATCACTATGATGCTGGTTTAGACATAGTGATTACGTCTGTTTTCTCAGTTATTACTTGAATTTCAGTGCTAAGAATCTGTTTTGCAATTCATCGCATAGAAGGCAGAAGAGCAGCTAATCAAAGCAGCTAAACATTGTTCAGGACTACTAAGGTTATATGGTTAAAAAGTATGTCCTCTGTCAAACTCTTCCCATTATCTCTGTATTCTAGTTCAGTTTGGAATATTTCATTTCATGTGCATAGTAGTTGAGTAGAAAGGGAATTGTTTCTAACACGTGCCTGATGAATACATCTTATAGCTGCAGTAAATGGCAGTTGAAAGCAAAACTAGCAGGTGAATGTCTTAACTGATAAAATGTATATCTAGCTGAGCAATAATGTTTGTTTTGATAAATAATGAAACAAAATTGAGTTTCATAAAGGAAGATATGCTATGTGATTGAAAGTCCCCACACTTTGAAGAAAAATCCTTTCCAAGCAGGAATTCAGATAGGTGTGATTTTGTTTTTTTTTAAATTTTAACCAACATAAACAATTTTAAAGAGAGAAAAGTACTATTAGTCATGTTTATCTTAAGTAAATTAATCTCTGTTGTACTCTGACATGATAATGTCTAAAAACTTTTCTAAATACGTGCTCATTCTGACATTTACTGTGCTTTTTCTCTTCAACAGAGCCGAACTTTATCGGGCCTCAGGGAAGTTTGAGCTACTCGATCGTATTCTACCAAAGTTACGAGCTACTAACCATCGTGTGCTTCTTTTCTGTCAAATGACATCACTCATGACCATTATGGAAGACTACTTTGCCTTTCGAAATTTCCTTTACCTGCGTCTCGATGGTAAGCTACACGAAAAAAAAAAGGGATAAATAGTAAGCTAGGAGGTAGCATGCTTCATTAATTTCGATATGAGAGACCTAGACTCTCTTCCTAGTGTCTTCCTGGCACACCAGTGCTGTGATGTGACTATATAGAAGTGTAAACAGGTTCATAAAATGGTTTGACTAATCCATGAAGGAAGTCTGTAAGAGTATTCATCATGAAGTTACGGCAGTAAACCCTTAAGCTGCAGCTTGCTAGAATTTTCCCTGTTCTTACAGACAAGATTATGAGCAAAATGTGCTTTTGCCTTTTGGTAGTTGAAGTTAAGTAATTTTCCATCTCCCTGGTTCTTTGACTGTTTTCTTTCAGCTGTTAAACCTGCAAATGCTTTGGTTGAGGGCTTGTTTTGATGAACACTCAGGTCTGTTCCTGGAATGCTGATTATGTAGAGATTTGATGTTTAGGGGCTGAGACATCAAACGAGATTTAAAATCCAAGGTCCCAATCAGTTGTCACTAAGTTGTCTGAAAGTATTCTCATGATGAGAGATGATTATGTCAGTGTTTTCCCTAGATTCCAGTGGAATTAATTAATTGGTAGCTGCTTAAAGTTCGACTGCTGTTCTCCACAGGGTAGCTGAATTTCTGTGACAGGTAAAGTGATACCTGTAGTTTTCTTCCTGAATTTCACGGGAAGGTCAGTAGCCCCAGTTACTTCATGTGTAGATGTGTTTTGTTACCTTTGAATGAAAAAATGATTTAGAAATATAGTGGAAATATAGTAATTGAAACGAAAATTTCAGGAAGGAAAATTGAAAGGAAAAGAATATATTAATTGAAAGGAAATTACCTAGCTAGAAACACCATATCTCATCTGAGGATTAAACCTGTTTGAAGGTTTGTCAAAACTGTCTGAAGAACACAGTACCACACTAACAAAACCCTCCTTGCACTTCTGGCCTGCAGGTGTTTTAGTGCTTCCATTCAAGAAACAGGAATTATATTAAATTTAAAATTTATTAAATTACCTTGCACTGTGTATGTTTAAATGAATCCTTTTTTCATGCTTGAATGTCTGTGGCAATACACAGTATGTTAAATTACAGCTTCTTGTTTTCCTTAAGGTTTTGGAGGTAATTCATTAAATTAGTGAGATTAAACCTTTTTTCTTTTATTCTAGTTTTATGATAACTGATACCTTCCATGCTGGAGTGTAATATATATGTAGATTCTATCCAGTTGTTTTCTCATATGACGTATTTTCTACCCGAGTTACCTGCTTCTTAAGTAAATGGGTTTCTGTGGGCCAGCAGTTTGTCTGTGTGACTTTTCTGAGTCTGGCAGGAGTAAAGTTATGATGAATGCTAATAATGAAGTTAGGAATGAATGCCTTCCTCCTAGCAGCCCATAAAATGCTGTGCTTTGCATTTGTGGCTAGGCAGGTTTCATAACACACCAGTGATAACAGTCTAGTGTTTTGGCTATTGCTGAAGCAGTGTTTGCAGAGTGTCAAGGCTTTCTCTCTAAAACAGCCCTCCACTCTCAAGGCCAGTAGACCAGGACAGCTGACCCAAACTGGCCAAAGAGGTGTGCTCAGCAATAAAAGCTGAGGGAAAGGAAGAGATTGCAGGGACGTTCCTCATTCCAGCATTCATCTTCCCAAGCAATCATTACAGCTTCTGAGGCCGTGCTTTCCAGGTAGTAGCTGGACATCTGTCTGCTGATGGGAAGTAGTAAATATATTCCTCTTTTTACTTTTGTTGCATGCATAGCTTTTGCTTTTATTAAACTGGCTTTGTCTCAGCTCAGGAGCTTTTCAATCTTATTTTCTCCCCTCATGAGCTTTTTCATCTTATTTTTTTCCCCTTGTACTGTTGAGGAGGGGGAGTGAGAGAGGTGGGGGAAGGGTGGGTGTCTGGCAGCTGTCTGGGGTCAACTCACCACAGTAATAGAAGGACTTAATCTTCTGTACATAGATCGAAGCCTGAATAAAAGTAGCAAACTTTCTTTGGCTTCCAGTTACAGACAGAAGTGTAAAAAAGGTAAAGCAAACAGTGGACCAGGCTACGGTGATCCATATGGCCTGTTGTTGAAATGCATGAAATTCTTGCAGTTGCCAGATTGCACAGGACCTGAGTTTTGCTTAGAACTTTGTGTACTGTTTTCACCATGATTGAATTCCTTGCCTGTTCACCCTCAGCTATTGTATACCATCACCCAAGATACACCAAGATAGGATCTTTTAAGAATTTTCAATTCTTTTGTGTTAATAGTCACTATGAAGGCCAACAGTAACATTTTGATAGATCTCTCTATAAATAACTTTTAAATTTTTTTAGGTGCTGTTGTGGCAAGAAGGCATTAATCAAAACTGGAGCTGTCGTCTGTTTGTGTATAGTAACTTTAATTGAAATTTTTGTGAGTCATAGAAAGGTATAACAATGTTAGCCAATATTTCAGAGTCCACTTTTGAAATGTCAAAATAAATACTTAAAAGAGATATTTAGAAGTCCATCTCTTAGATGTGACAGGCAGTTGACCAAAACATTTGTGGTGTTTTTTCTGTATTAGTGAAGATGTGGCAGAGATAGCAAAAAGCAAGTGAACTAAAATTTCCCTTCCACATGTACGTTTAGCAACTGGCATTGTATTTATATTATTTCAGTTCACATCTTTCTTATAGGGTATTTCATTTCTTTTCAGGCACAACAAAATCAGAGGATCGAGCTGCTCTGTTGAAGAAGTTCAATGAACCTGGGTCACAATACTTTATCTTCTTGCTGAGTACAAGAGCTGGAGGACTAGGCTTAAATCTGCAGGCTGCTGACACAGTTATAATCTTTGATAGTGACTGGAATCCTCACCAGGTTATTTTTATTTACTTATCTTGATGAAGTGGGCAAAAAAATCATGATGCATTTTTGGTTTGCTTTTTAAATTTGGGGGTACAGCCTGGGGTAAAAGGAATAGATCCAGGTAAGTCATAGAATGCTGCTTTGAGAGGAATCAGTGAGGCGAACTGCTACAATCGGGAAATGTTTTGGTTTGAATCAATGAAGTAATTCTTTCTGTGTATATTTTACCTGAGTCTCATGAAATCCTCAGAGCAAGGGACCTTATAGACCTGCTTCATTTGTACAGCTGTACTGATTCTTTAACCCTTAGGATATTAATAAGTAGCTCCCTATTTTGAGTCTTTGCTAGATGGTTTGTGATATTTTAGTAAAGACTGTGCACAGCGCTGCCTGTCTCAGGAAATGAACAACTGTATGACTGCAGCAGTCTTGGCCTGAGACACTGAACACTGTAAAAGGGGGTATCAAACCATGCTGGCTTATTTAAAAAAGCTAGAAGAGAGAATTGTTTGTGTCAGTTAGTGCCTTATTTATTTTTTTAACTTATTTTTAAGACTGTAAATCAGATACCTCTGGAATTACATAGGTATGTGTGTGTTTTCAGCTATTGTGCAAGTGTATGCAGGTCACATAGTCAATGGCCACATGTAAAAGTAAGGGAAGTGAGACTAAAAAGAGATTTTTTTATATAACTTTCAAGACAACACTCTCATAGATGTCATGATGACCAATTTAAAGCAAGGCTTAAATTCAGAGCAATCATATTTGGAGATTTTTAAAAGCAGCTCAGAAAACACTTGATTTTTTGGTTGTCTTTAGAGTACTCACAGGCATGTTCAACACAGAGTACTGTATATTTCTACAGTTGGAGAGGAATAAATCCTTACAGTGCAGTAGAATTTACAGAATATTTTCTGACGTATTCGGTGGGCATATTGCTCAATTACAAAATGATGGAATCATAGAATCATTTAGGTTGAAAAAGACCCTGAAAAACATCAAATCCAAACATAAACCTAACACTGCCAAGCCCTAAGTGCTGCATCTACACATCTATTAAATCTCTCCAGGGCTGGTGACTCAACCACTTCCCTGGGCAGCCTGCTCCAGTGCTTGGTAACCCTTTCAATGAAGAATTTCCTCCTAATATCCAAACAAAACCTCCCCTGGAACAACTTGAGGCCATTTCCTCTTGTCCTTTCACTTGTAACTTGGAAGAGATGGCCTCCACCTCCCTATGGCCTTCTGTCAGGTAGTTGTAGAGAGTGATAAGGTCTTCCCTTCAGTCTCCTTTTCAGTGCATGCAGTTTCTCTTCTCTTGCAAATGAGAGAGTGATTTGTTCATTTTAATGAGCAGTGTGGTAAAAGGAGGTAGCTGAGAGGGTGGGAGGTGAAAGCGGAGAAGGGAGGGGTGGGGAGAGCAGGTAGCATTTAAACAGCATATAAAGAAAAACTGTTGCCTTGCCATTTTCCTGTGCTTCTGAGATTGATTATATAAACAAATTCATATTGTAGCTTCATCTTTACTGTTAGTGCAGACTTCACCTTTAGGTTGCAGCAGCTGAATTGTAGGTAGTGCTTGGGAAGGGAACTGTGGGAGGGAAAGGCTAACAACAGTAACAAAATCAAGGTGCCGGACTGAAATAGGCAAACTCATTGCCTTTTTTTTTTCTCTACATTAAGAAATTTCTGTATTATGAAGCAGCACAAAACTACAATAGCTTTTTGTGTATAAGTACCCTTCATTGACTGTGTTGAAATAGAAACACATTAATTACAGGAGTTAATGGATTTCTCTTTTCCTCAAAGAAAGTAGGTAAGATTTTGAATTAATAAATTCTTTACCTGTGACCTGCAGTGTACTTTACTTTTTACTTCCTCTATTTGTAAGTGCAGTCACCTGACCAAAAAATAGTTCTATTGATTCACAGTCTAGTAAATATGAACTTTCAATCAGGAAGATCATATTTAAGCTGTTTAAAACAAATATTCCAATTTTAAAACCAGTTTCAGTAGATCAAATAATTCTTAATTAACTTATTTACAAATCAGTAAAGGCCTTATGTGTGGCTTTTTCCCTGGTAATTTTGTTGCTTGCTTTTCGTGCAATCAAGAGATACTTAACGTTAGGGTTCATTCTGGCTTAGAAGGCCATGAGCTTGTACAAAGCATGTCCATGTTTTTTCCTTTCAGTTTTCACCTTACCTGGGTGTGATGGAGTTTTGGAAAAGAAAACAATGAGGAATAAACTATGTGAATTGTGGCAGACTGTCATCTGAGTACTTCACTTGCTGTAGTACACTTACAATACAAATCACTCTGTGTTTTATGCCTAATAGGACTTGCAGGCCCAAGACAGAGCTCACCGAATTGGTCAGCAGAACGAAGTTCGAGTCCTGCGACTGTGCACTGTCAACAGTGTGGAAGAGAAGATACTTGCCGCTGCAAAGTATAAGCTGAACGTCGATCAAAAAGTTATTCAGGCCGGAATGTTTGATCAGAAGTCTTCAAGCCACGAAAGGAGAGCCTTCCTGCAGGCCATATTGGAGCATGAAGAAGAAAATGAGGTAAGGTAGTTAGAAATATCAGTAAGAGGACGTTTCAGGAAGTACTGAGTCATTTTTTTAATCAGTTACAAAGATTGTAATCTCCTTTGAAGTTAGAAATGTCATCATATTCTTACCATCCAGTCAAAGAAACAGCTTGATTTTTCTCTTTGTTTTTGGTCACAGTAATAGGTTATAATGTGTAATGGTTATTATGGTAATGATTAAATCTTAGTGTGGAATTAGGCACTGTCACCTATACCCATTTTGCGCTTTCATAATTTTGGCAAATTTATATTAAAGATTTTTTCCAAAACAGATCATAGAACAGTTCCTAAATCCAGTTTATATGTTGAACTGGATAATCTGATTTTTCAGACATGCTGAACAACTAGTACTACCTAGGTTCAATCATAGAAGACCCTGCTTACTATGCTTCTTTTGGACCGTGGGTAATAGTTAAGATCTGCTTTGATATGCTTTGGGCTTAGGGCAAGCCAGCAAAATAACTGTTTCTTTCCAGTGCTGTGTCTAATCTGGACTTCTGGTTATTACTTCCTCTTTGAGAAACAATTAGCTGTCTAAAAACAGCTGTCAAGTCTTTCTTTATAATAGTGGGAAGTGAAGTTATACAGTCACTGACTGCATGTCCCTGTTTTGCCATTGTGTTACTCTCTGGAATTGCAATTGTGGAATGGTGAGACCCTTCTTTTGCTTGTCACTGCAGACTCTTCTCTTAGTGTGAACAAAATTCAGTGTTTGGGTGAAAGCCATATTTGGAAGGGACTGTATAAATGTAACAAATATACTGAGGACACACACACAAAAAAATCCCATTCTGGAATGACTTTTTCCCACCTTGATAATATCCTGCACAGGTTAAAGACACAGAGATTTCAAGCCTGATTTTGCTTCTGGCTATGACTTGTATGTCTGAAGATGGTGCACATTGAAAGAAAAGACGACTGTAGTCTGTGTTTCACTGACATCCTTCAGTATGTGGTGTAAAGTTTGAGATCTCTTGATCTCTGAGATCACTTATCTGAAAATGGTTCAAAAATCAGGACTGTAGTTCAGGCCTGCTTCACATGCCTCATTTCATAGATGACTTCAGAGCAGTCTGCTTCTTGTGTGTTATTCAAATACACTTGATCTGCCACCCTGAAGCAAGCACAGGTTTAACCAAGGTTTCCTTGCCGTAACCCAGCATCAGTCTTTAAAGCAAGCATTGGTATTGCAGTCTGACTTGTAACAGTCAGACTGAAACTGAAGAGTTCAAGTAAAATTTCTTTCTGAAACAGAGACTATGCTAAAGTTTGCCCAAATACTGAAACTACTGAGGGAGTAAGGGGGATTGAATTTGCATCATCCTACACTGAACAGCCATTGCTTCTTCATTGCAGCAGCACTGGAAACAAAATCTGGGTAGCAAATGAGAGATCGACAAGAAAATGTAAATCAGTAGAAAGTTATTAATACCAAACCAAATTTGACTTGCAAATATGGGCTGGCACATCTAATAGAGTATGTTTAGTGACCACTGAACTGAATATTCCCATGCTAAGCATGCTTTCAGCTTATGTATCAAAGCTTTTCACACTTGTATGTAGAGCACCATATTTTCTTTGTACTTATTTAGTAGTTTTCCTAAATTCAGCATCAAAACTCTCCTTATTTTTCTTTCTTCTTTCCTTTCCTCTTTTGCTCATTTTTTTTTTCTTGTAGCAGTACCAGATAAAGCAAAGAGGTAATTTCTGTGTATTTAGAAAGATATTTGAATAAGATAATATATGGCAAATGATTAGAAGTAACTGATGTTTATAAATTTTCCTTCTGCCAAGCCTACATTATTGGCAACAGGATTTGTGGACACTGTTGTTACAGCTTCTACTACGGGATCACTTATGTTTTTCAGGTGACAAGTTGCTCTATTTGAGATGATAGGAAGTGTGTGTAACTTTCACATTCTTTGCTGATGATAAAGGAAGGGATCTGTAATCTTTTTTTATCTGTGTGTGTAACGATGTAACTTCATTTTCGTGAACGTTGAAAGATCACTGTTATTTTTCCAGCTGTTCTTCGTGTTAAAATGTAAATTCTTTGTACATTAGGGTACAGGGGTATTTGCTTGGAACTGCATTAATAAGAACTGTAATATTTAATAAGGTGTAGAAATCTTGACAGTGAAGGGAAAATAAGATGTGTGAATACAGATAGCGGCTTTTTCTGATTATTTCTGGGGAAAAAAAGAAGGGCACAGAATGTTAGTTTTTTGGGTGCTATATGCAGCATTCTGTACTCTCATTTACTGAATACAAAACACGAGTTTTCATGAGAAGTTCTAGGTCTGCAGCATACTGTAGCAGGTACCGTAACATAGATTCAGTAAGCCCTATGTAGGACCAGTCTGTACAGTCTGTAGTTTTATTGTTTCAGTTGACCTGTTGTCAGATTTGAAGTGCCACGTGCTTTCAAAATAGTTCAGGGAGGGAAACTGAGAATTGTGAACTCTGATTGTGTTAAAATGGGTATCACAGCAGTTCAGCCTTAACATTTTTATTTGAATTCTACAGTTCTAAATGGTTTTTCCAAGAACTGTTTCTGTTTTTATGAAGTAAGTAATTTTGTCTGAAGTCAGAGGTTAACATCTCAATTTGTAAGCAAATAATGGTCAAGAGAAAGAGGGATTCAGCAGGGTATTTTTCCAGTGATACTGGGTTGTTTGAGTTTTTTGTTGTTTGTTTTTTTTCCATTTAACTAGAACTTTTTCATTCTCCTAGCATTGACAGCAAAGACCTAATAATGCAGAATGGTTGTGGCTGGGAGAGTACTGTAAAGCAGCAGAACAGAAATGCATATATTGTAACTGAAGCACTAACTGTGCCTCTGACCCAGGAAAACTGCAAGCCAAAATTTCCTGGTTGTGTATTGGCTCATTTCCTCATTCTCGATTTATGAAGGTAGTAATAAGTCCCAATCATCTCTCTAATTATGTCTATTTTGTGTTACTTCTGAATTGCTGAACACTTTAAATGTTACAGTCTCTTTTTGAGTGTTTCACATGTGTTGTGACAGAAGGAGGGTCAGTACAACACTGACCTGTTGGAGGCTGTTACTTTAAGTTGCATGTAGCTTCTTTCTAATACCTTTATCCATCTGTGTAACCAGGAGGAAGATGAAGTTCCTGATGATGAGACACTGAATCAGATGATTGCTCGACGTGAGGAGGAATTTGACCTCTTTATGGTAAGGATGGTATGGTCGTAAGTAGAATGCCTTCTCTAGTGTTTTTAACAAAGGCCTTATCCTTTTGTCATTCAGATTTTGGAAAACTGCGTTGCAGGAATAGGCTTCATTTGTTTGTATTGTTTATCTGAGGAAAGAAGAGTAATCTACTAAAATACAGAGTTCCTCATATGACAGACTTAAGGGATCCTTGCGGACAGTATCGTGGAACAGTGCCAATATGAGGAAGAGTGCGGCACAACCTGAGAAATTTACAGTGCAAAACTGGTAGTCACAGTTTAGCTTGCTAATTCTACAACATACTTTACTTTTCAACATTTCTTCTGACTTTTGGACTATGATACTCCTAAGGACAACTATGGGAACTTAACGAGGTAGTGAATTAGTAGACTGACAGTGCTCTTTTCTTTGTGAATTAACTGGAGTTTGCTGATGGTTTTGTCAAGAGCCCAGTTAGCTGCATCTCTGCTGCTACAACTGTTAAAACGGTTACTGAAATAGAACAAGTGACAGTGGTTCAAATGTGAGTGACTCATTTTTATTAGCACTTCCCTTTTTGTTAGCACTGCTACAACACTGATGGAATAATTACTAAAATTTCAGTGTAGGAATGGCTCTTGCCTTTTAATGTGTATACAAAGTGAGGATTGCTGAAGGACCTTTGAGAGTCACTGACACAACAACAGGAAAGTACTTAAGTACTGAAAGTAAAGTACTGTCCCCTTTAATTTTGCAGAGGCTGCTTTCTTCTGCAAGGTGGAGAAAGACAGACACTCCTACATACAGGAATTAAAGTGTATCAAGTAATATCCTCAGAAGCTACCATTGATAGGACCACAGTTTGTTAATGCTTCACCATCCTCTGTGCAAGGATTAATCTCTGAAACTTTGCTGTTACGCAAGTGCACAGAGGTCCTTTTTACCTAAGTGTCAGCTGTTCGTGTGTGCATGTTGACAAAGGCTGTGTTCCCCCATGTGGCCTTGCCTTTTGTCATTGCTGATGTGCCAGTTTAGTCCTTTTGTGCTAAGTTTCATTTAATGAAGAACTGAAATCCCTAAAGCTAGGCTGCACAGAAAATGAGTGCTTACAGACATCTGTCTTTATTTTTAAACTTTCCTTCAGTGATTAGGGTGTAAAGGCATTTACATGACAGAAACCAAGAGGTGGCCATTTGATCCAAAACTCAAAAGGTATGATTTCAGCCAAATTATTGGCTAAGAGTACAGTGAGTTCTGTGAAAGCAGATTTGCTGCTGGAAAAAGCTTCTTGGTACTTCTCCTTCAGACCCAGAAGGAAAGAACTAATCCATGGATTGAACGTAGCTGATGAATGTATGTCTGTTTGCAGGAAATTTCTACTTCTTCATCTTTTTGGGTTAAGTTTGAAGCCTAATAACAGCCTTTCAGTAAAATATTGAGGGGCTTAGAGTGAAGACAGTTTTAGCACTGTGTGGGCTGAATTTGTTTTTCATATTAATTTACATGGAAGTTTTTAAGGAAAAGTAAAGAGTTGGCAGCAGGCAATAAAAATTTGAAGATGCAAAGTTAACATGCTTTGAAAGCCAGGATGTTGAAAATATTTAAGATAGAAACAGTGAATTTAAATATTAATGGCTAAGAAACAATTGTTATAAAAGAATTTGGTTTTAATTTTAGTAAACTGTTTAATTATAAAACAAAACTCTGAAAAATAAGTTTAGCAGTTACAGTTGTTTGTCTTCTTTTTATCAATATTTTAGGTCTTGCATAGTTAAATATCACAAAGTTAGGTTTGTATTCTCCTTACCTCAGTGATACCTGTGCCACCTTATTCCCTCTGTTAAGTTTGTACAGATGTAATCAGAATTCAGCGAACTGCAATATCCAAGAAAAAATTATTTTTGTTTGTTTATTTTGCATGCGTTGCAAGTGATGGCACTTTATCACATAGTAAAAAGTATAGAAAACATAGAAAACATATAGAAAAAGCCACTGTTTCAGTATGATTTGTACAACTCTTGTGATATCATAGTCGTGTGCTTCAAGAAGTATTACTCTTCCCAGAAAAAAAAGTCATTTTTAATCTTATATTTACTTAAATAAAGATTCCTGATGTAAAAACTTTTGAAGTGGGAGAGTGGCCTTTCAAGGAAGGCCTCTCACCAAAATGGGTGCCAGTACTCTAGTGCTAATACAGTTTATCACCTTGATCCAAAGTGGCAATATAGCAACAACTGAGTGTATAAATTACCTGTTTTACACTGAGTGGCTTAGGTGGTTATTTTAAAGACTATTTTAGTTATCATTTGGAAGGTTTTAAGATAACCATTCACAGTTCACAGGACAGCAGTGCTTTCTGCTTTTTCTAAACTGGAAGGTTTAGGCCTTGAGTGTGCCAACGCTTAAGTTCTTCACTTATGTGTAAGCATCAGTGGTGTAGGGTGTTTTTATTTCCAGCATTTAGGCCTCAGTGATGACAGTGTAAATACAATTACTTTCATAATTACAGTAAAATAAGATAGATCTGGTTTGGAAACACATGTTTTTGTAAGACATGGGAAGACAGGACTAGAAATTTCCCAGAGATAAAAGTGGTTTGAGTAGTATCCTACCAAAAAAAACCAAATGGCTGTTTGTATCTCTTAAATCTCTCTCTCAGATTAACTGAGAATGTCTTTGATTTTCTTCCCAAGAGCTTTTATTTCAGAAAACAGCTATTAAAATACACTACGTTAAAGTTCAGTCTTTGTCTTAGGGATGGAACATGGTCCTCAGGAGAAAAAAATTAAGTTTCAGCATTCACTTCATATATTTAATGTCATTATATGATGCCTGACTTCACTGAAATTCTCTGCTAAATAATAGAGGGATCCATCCCATCTATTCTGCTTGGACCACCTCTCAGTGCAGCTTGCTGGTTACAGCAATAAGTCAAGACATGCGTGTGACTTAAATGAGACATTTTTTGAAATAAATTCAGATTGAACAAGATGTTCTTTAAAAGGTGAAATATGGAAATCTGCTATGAAAAACAAAAGGCTGCACAGTCTATTCATCATTGTCTGAGGTAATGAAGGATGTGGAAAACCTGCATGTATTTACAGTTGCTTTTTAAATGTATTTGGACCTGCAGAATGACCAGGCACATATTTTACATTCTGCTTTTGGCTGAGTTTAGAAATCAGATAGGGTACCAGACAAGATGATGAAGACCACTTGTAAGATGTTGTGCCTGAGGTAGTATTTTGGAAATGCTTGTGTTTGAGAAGTGCCAAGATGAGAGAAGATTCAGCATATACAATAGTGCCATCATTAAGCCTCAGTTAGTAAATTTGGCTGGATTTGAGCTGCCCCTATAGATAGATAATACCTCTAATTTATGCATATCTGTGTCTTGGCAAAGGGTGTGAAAGCATAATATGTCTAGTTGGCATCCTGTAAAAGTGCAGCATCATGCACACAAGGGAGGTGTTTGTGCATAATCGAGACTGCTTTTAATAAATGTTTACTGACCAAAGCAGTAGCCTGTTCTGCTGTCACTGCCACTTCTGGTGCCAGTCTATTTATGTTAGTTTTTCAAATATGAAAATTAAATGCTTGGTAGCCACCTGTTTGTTTTCTTTGCTTAGAAACTGATTACTGGGCGTTTAAATACTGTATGACTCTTCAAAAGGCTTATGTGAAAATACTATTCATGTTATCTGATTTGGGGTACTTAAAAAAATGCAAATGAGATTCACAGAGCCTAATCTTATCTGATATTTTTGTATGTTTTGATTTTTGCCTAATACAGCAATAAAATCAGGAAAAGTTCAGTGTTTTAAGCATGTTGGCTTTCTGACACTGTGTAGGCAAGCTTTTCTCTGAATTTTTAAATTCTCTTTCTTGATTCTTTTTTTCTAATACTAGCTTTTAAATTTTAATCTGGCTTACAAAACATATTTTCAGTTACTCTCTTTAGTTAATAATAACACGTTATGGGGATCTTGTCAAGGAATGATTAGTATTTGGAGATCACATGTACAAATGCAAAGAAACCATAAAAACTAAGCTAAAAAGGAAGAGTTATTTACTTAACATAACAGTGTTCTTGTGATCTGCTTTGTATCGCTTAGCTGCTGTGTTGTCTCAGTTACTTCAGTAAAAGCTAGTTATAGAGTAGTGAACTTGACTGAAAATCAACCATCAAGCTTCTTTTTATAGTTGCATTTTAGAAGTGTTTAGAAGCATTGTGGAAGGGAAATACCTGTAAAAGGACTTGGTTTAAAGTTTCAAGTATCATTAGATAGCCAGGGATTTCCATGGTTCAGTTAGTATTTTCCCTTAAAAATGTTTTATGCTTTCCCAACTGCCATTGCAGCGGATGGACATGGACCGTCGCAGAGAGGATGCCAGAAACCCCAAGCGTAAACCCCGCTTGATGGAGGAGGACGAATTACCATCCTGGATTATTAAGGATGATGCTGAAGTTGAAAGGCTTACGTGTGAAGAAGAAGAAGAGAAAATATTTGGAAGAGGATCCCGTCAGCGCAGGGATGTGGACTACAGTGATGCTCTTACGGAGAAACAGTGGCTGCGGGTAGGTTGACCCTTTTTTTTTTGTTCTTTTTACAGTTGAAGTTTATTCATTTGTGGTGAGGGTTTTGGGGAGGGTTTGTTGTTTGTTGGTTTGGTTTTTTTAAGAGTGCACAGTTGCAGCAGGCAGAGCACAAAGTAATAGTCAAGGTCTAAATATCATTATCCAGCTTTTGCTGCTGTGTTGAAAGCTTAAGTAATTTTTAAGCTGCATTGCTGAAACTTAAATGAGTGTTACTAAATGCTGAATCAAGACTATGATAGTTTTCTATTGCAACTGTTCTATTGCTACACATCTTGACATGTTTCTTACGTATTTGGACACTTTCACAAGTGTCATCTTTAAAATACATGAAGAATTCTTTTACAGCAGAGAGGACCAGTGATGGGTGTATATTACAGCTTTCTGTGGTGCAAAAGCTTAATTTTATTTTTTTTTACATGCCTGAATTTAATTGTTTTAAGAATTTGGAAACTTTCACATAAGTCTTCTTTTTCTCATGCTGTTTCATTTCCAATTCCTGAGCATTTCTGGCTCCACTGAGATCAAAACCCTTGGTAAATGATATAAGAATTGAAGATCTGAAAGTAAAGATTCTAAATTTAACTCACACAATCTGTGATCGTGCTGTACTTAAGGATTCTTGCTGATCTTCTGTGAAATCCATATCTAGTGAATTCTAATGCCTGTGCCTTTTTAGAATGGTGGTAAGGAGGTGAGGATTGATTGTTTGAAAGTGTTCTCAAAACCAGGAAATTTGATAACGTTATGATTTCTAAAATATATAGGTAAAGTATTGTATGTACAAAACTAGTCTACATGATTTGACGGAGAATGTTTTTTCCTAGAATAATTACAGACTTAATGCTAACATGAATATACAGTGTAGTTTTTGTGTATAATTTGCTAAAGGTAGGTAGAAATCTTACTTTCAGTTACAAACATGATGCATGTGAGAGTGCATTGTGTGACACTGTGCTAAGAGCTAATCCAGATTCTGCTGCTGGGTGTAAAACTTAAGGGAGCAAAAGTTTAAATTATACATCAGCTGTAAACGTAAGCAAGTTTGTGAAACTGCAGGAGGTTGATGCTTGATATTTTCAAGCAGTCAGTGAAAACGAAAGACCTAGAAACATAAACTCCTGTCTGGATTCTCGAACACTTACTCTTTCCTGCAGTGAAAGCGCTTGCAGTGTATTGTACAAGTACTGAAGGATGTTTTAAGGTAATTATTTTTAATGATGGAATATACTCTGGCTATGGCAACATAGAAGTTAGCTTCAGCTTGGACATTTTGTGTTTTGAGTTGATTCTGGAATTTTTATTAAGCACCTTTGTGTCAAAAATGGCACCCCTAAAAAATAATCTAATCCATCTTCCTAAGCAGGGTGGAATCGGCCAGTCTTGTGTCATTTACAGATGTTCATCTGATCTGCTCTTAAGGCCTTCACTAGTAGTGAATTTAGAAGTCCACAGGGGAATGTATTTAATTGTTTGACTTTCCCTTATATTTTAACTGAATTTTCTTGTTGGCTTTTAAGCCAATTATTTCTTGTTCTAATCACTCTGGTCATGCAGAACCCACTGATACCTTTCTTTTTTTAGCAGTTCCGTATGCTGTAGAAGACTTGTTTACCCATTCAGTCAATTCTCAAGGTTAACAACCACTGCTGATTCAGTCTTTTCCAATAGTTCCTGTTTTCTAGATCTCTTGATTGTTTTCACTGATTTCCCCTAGCTGTTCTACGTGTGACTGATGTCTTTCTGCAAGTTTGGTCAAGAGCTAGACATCAAAACTCCAGGTACAGCCTCATTTGAATAAGGAGGAGTTCTTTTGCATAACTTCTAGGATACTTACACCTCATGATCCAGTATTTTGTCGTCTTAAAATCAAATATATTGACTTGTGTTAATTTTTTGATCCAGTGTAAGCCCTTAATCCTTTTCTGAGGATCTACTTCCTGGCCAGTTTTTCAGAATCATGTTTTGTATGGTTGATCTTTCCTTCCTAGGAAAAGGATTTAGCATATGCCCTTGTTGAATGATATCCAAGTTTTTTTCATGAAAATTATTCTGAATTTTAAGCTTGTCCTCAGATGAACTTTTAATTAGCTTGGTGTTCTTTGGAGGTTTAGTAGGCTTGCATTGTTTTCTGTCTTCCTAAAAACGCTAAAAACACTGCAAAACACTGCACCATTTGATAAAGAGCCATTAAAGACTATTCTGAAAGCAATTTCTTACCAGTTTTCCATTTCCATTACTTGATTGTAATTGTTTTCACTGTTTGATTCTGCAACTGTTGTGTGAGGCCAGGTCAGAAACCTTGCTAGTCAGGATGATACCTAGACCACCCCCTTTTCAACATGGCTCCTTATCCTGCTGTGAAAAATTAGTCTCCCTCCTCCTCACTACTGAGTTGTTAAGCATGTTCTCAAGTGAGCCAAGTTAAAGCTAAGTCAGATTGCTTTGCAGTGCATTGCAGTCATTACTGTGACTCTACTGTATATATAGTGTATTTCAACTTACACTGTCAAGTGGAATTGAGAGCGTGTTGATATAAATGCCAATGTAGGCACTAATATTTTTTAGACTCTTTAATTAGAGGAATTACACTTGCAGTGTAACACTGCTTATGGAGGTTCAGAATAAAAATACCTCTCCATTAGATGGATAGTGAAATGTAACTAAAATTTTTTTGAGTTTTTTCATTATCTTACTTACCTTGTGTATGTAATACAGAGTTCTTTGTCACACCCATTGGCCTCCCAACACCATCACTTCTCTGTCCTCTTTGAGAATTTCAGTGTTTGTCTCTTTCTGTAGTGACATCTCTGGATTGTAGAAAAAGTGATAATAACCTTGTACAGCATTTTCAAGGGAATCTAAATAGATTATAAAATTGTGGTAGATAGTTCATAAGCATTTGTATCTTGTACACTGTAACTTGTAAGATATAATACAGTATGGTGCATATTGCATGAAAACTTTGAATTGATAGTTTCATGTTAACTTGGATACAGTGAACTACTTACATCAGTAAAGCTGGAAAACATAGAAGAGCCAGTTACTTCAGAATTAAGAATGATACTTTAATTCATAAGACAGCCTGTTACCCATATTCTGTATCATGCCACTCTCCAAAGATAACTATAGAAACTTCTATTTTTATTGCAGTGTTACGGAAGAATGAGATTTATTTACCAGCAGCAAGGGATGCCCCTCATTTTGTGTCTTGCTGTGGCTGCTGTTGCAGCTATCTTCTCGTTGGGTTTTCTGGAGTGAAACTTTCCATTTGTGACTAGTAAATTGATTTCATAATATCAATATCCAGTCCTCAGCTCTCTCTTTTCCTTTATGTGTCTTGGGGAGGTTTACTAGATCTTTTCTGAGGTTTTTTGCCTCAGTCAGCAGCCACAACTCTTTAACTGTGGGGATCAGCTACATGCTTCTTTTCAGTTAGACCCTGACCCCTCTGCTGATACACTCAACACTGAAAAGTCTAGTTACAGCCACAGCAGATCCCTACAGGATCTGTATGCATTCATGGATACTGACCAAGTATGTCAGCTCCCTGTGTGCTAAGAGGTCAAGTACCTGAGTTTGGAAGCAGGCGGCAAAATAATTACAGAAGCCAAACCTATGGACATACAAAGTGTTTTGTGAGTTTGTGCTGCTGCCCTAAACCACCATTAATACAATAACAGCCTTCCAGGGAATCTGTAAGACACAAACTAGCTTCATCACTAGCTGTCGCTGCAGCCTGCTGTTCTGTAACTGTTGGCATAATAACCGTATTTCCTCCAAAAAACCCAAACCAAAACCAACCAACCAAACAAACCATCCCTAATACCAAACCAACAACCACCAAAAAACACCAAAACTAAAACAACAAAAAAAATAGAGAGGAGGAGTTTGCTTCCTGATCCTATGAAGCATTTCTATTCTGGAAGTATTTCATGCTCCAGCAGAAACTATCCCTGCACCAGTTCTAACAAATACTTTGCTGGATCCCATGGCAGATTATTTTCTGGAGGGATCATCTACTAAGAACTCCATTGCTTAGAGCAGGCTTCGAAAAATTAGAGGATTTCTTTGAAACTCTTAAGAGCTGCAGCTACTTTCAGCTTCTCATTCCATTTAATTGCTGGGTAGGTGACATGAATAAATCTTTATTCCATAGTTGTGTGGTTCATTTGAAATAGCTTTGCATGTTGACCAGAGAAAGATATTTGAGTCCAGAATGAGCAGTGTCTTGTTTACCTCATGCAGACATGAAGAAGTCAACTATTGTAGACTACTTGTTTTGCTGATCTGAAAACCGTAAGTTAAATTCAAGCTTTTGGTCTGTGATTGTCAATCTTATTCAAATTAAAAGAAAAACAGTACTGGCTTTCATACATGCAGAATGTATGGTGAATACTGTTTGACATAATCATGACATAATTTTTATTTACTGTTTTGTTTACTAAGGCAAATAAGTTGTATAATAAACTAGTAGGAAAATGTTGGACATCTTTTATCATCAGCTGGAACTTTACATAACTTTTTGATTTTGCTCTTTCTAATAATGTGTTAAAAGATAGGTCTGGAATCAGAGGTAGTAAATTTGGGCCAGCTTGTTACTACAACTTGACAAAAACTACTAAACGTTTTTCAGTTAGGTTTGTGTTTTCTGAGGCACTCATTTTCATGTATACAACTTTAGAATCAATACTAAAAAGATGCTTTAAGACATGAGTTTTTAAAATATGGTGGTGAAACTTGGTCTTCAATAGATACTGAAATAGATCATCCAGTCCAATACTAAAACGATACTTTAAGACATGAGTTTTTAAAATATGGTGGTGAAACTTGGTCTTCAATAGATACTGAAATAGATCATCCAGTCCAATCCCCCCACCATAAGCAGGGACACCTCCCACCAGACCAGGTTGCCCAAAGCCCTGTCCAGCCTGGCCTTGAACACTGCCAGGGAGGGAGCATCCACAACTTCCCTGGGCAAC